GAGTTAATCGTTTTATCGCTCGGCAGTACACCGGCTGAAGCGCATGCAGAGATCGAAGTGACGTATCGCTCCTACTCTAAATATATCAAGCAAAACAACTTGCCGGGCGAGATTGTTGTCAAATTTCTCCGACGACAGACAAGAGACGATATTCTTAAAGCGACAGCAGCCAAACCCCTGCAACTGGGATCAGCAACTATCAGGGTCCTAAAGGACGTTCCATTTGAGGTCCGACAGAAAAGAAAAGCGTACAAAGAGCTTATCTCAACACTTCAGATCAACCAGATTCAATACACCTGGCTTTTCCCAGAGGGGGTGCAGTTTAAATATAAGGACAAAAGAGAAAAAATCGACTCGGTGTCCAAAGCGGAAGAATGGTTGAAGCAGTTTTTTGGATCGAAAGAGGAAGAGCAGCAAGACGGTGGAGGCCAGGCAGCCAGCCTGGATGAGACGGACGGAGACCTAGTAGGAGCAGAAGGGGGCACGGCCAGAGAGGCATATGATTTGCGGCTAAGAGTTGCCAAGTAGCTCTTATGATCTAAAAGATTTATGAACGAACTGGATGAAATCTTTGTGCATACTGAGAAGAAATTAGACATTTACTAAAATGGACTCACTAATCATAATTCATTGACTTAACCGAAAGCTTTAATTTTTATGACTAACTGTATACTAACTGTTAATGACCTTCCTTTCTTGGGTTTTTAGTTATAGTGTGGGTTCTTTTTCTTTTGTACTGTCTGTATCCCGGGGTTTGTTATTTTAGCTTGTTATTTCCCTTCCCCCTCCCTTTTTCTCCCTTTTTTTCCTTTCTGTAGTCACGTAGGTGTAACAAAAATTAATAAAGCTACCCTGTCTTCAGGGGATTAAAAAAAAAAAAGAACCCTGCGCAGGCATGAAACGGTTTCTTTTCTTTAAGCTTCGCTAAGTGCTGCCTAAATGATGGGTGAAGAAGGTGAAATTATGATTTGAAGTGGGCTGGGCATTACATATTCACTAAGCTCTGTGCTGGCAAATACCTCCTTGGCGACTGCCAAAATACACCCACCGGAGGCAGGGTTCAGCTTAACATACCAAACCATAGTTTCATTGGATGTTAGGATTCTAACCATGGTGAATTCTAACCATGTCCACAGTGTTTGGTATGTTCATAGACCAGCTACAAACTCGAGAATCAGAGGCCTGGATCCAGGGCTCTAGTCGGGGGGGAGCTCTCAGGTACGGAGCTCCGGAAGAGAACCTCTAGGGGGCGGGGCGGTCACGTGGTGAAGCCCCGCCCCCTTCTTTACCCCGCCCTCTGCTTCGATCCTCATTCCGTTTGGAAATGAGGATGAAGCAGGAGGGTAAGTAGCCGGGCCTTCTGACACACTTCCGGTGATGTCAGGGGGCGTGGCATATGCAAATAAGTTATGCTAATGAGTTATGCTAATGAGTTATGCTAATGAGTTATGCTAATGAGTTATGCTAATGAGTTATGCTAATGAGTTATGCTAATGAGTTAGGCTAATGAGCTCCGGCAGCTCTTTTTCTACAACAAGACCCCTGCCTGGATCCTTTATTTTTCCTCTGCACATGCTCTCCCCTGGGCACTGGGGAATTTGTTCTCTGCATACACATGAAGCTGCCTTACGCTGAATCAGACCACGGATCCATCAAGGCCTGCACTGTCTGCTCAGCGGCTCTCCAGGGTCTCTGGTAGAGATCTTTCACGTCACCTACTACCTGATCCTTAACTGGAGATGCCAGGAATTGAACCTGGGACTTTCTGCATGCCAAGCAGATGTTCTACTATTGAGCCATGGCCCCTTCCCACCAGGGCACCTTCCTCTATTGCTAGGCACTTCTGCTAGATCAATGTCTTTCAATGACCTGCAAAGTTTGTAGTGCAAGAGGAATGCACTCTAAAGCAAGGGACTGTTTCGCAGTGCCCGGAGAGCAGTGTGGTGAGGAGGAGGAGAAGAGTTGGTTTTTGTACCCACTTTTTTCTACCCGAAGGAGTCTCAAAGTGGTTTACAATCACCTTCCCTTCCTTTCCGCACAACAGACACCTTGTGAGGTAGGTGGGGCTGAGAGAGCTCTGAGAGAACTGTGACTGGCTCAAGGTCACCCAGCAAGCTTCATGTGGAGAAGTGGGGAATCAAACCCAGTTCTCCAGATTAGAGTCCACCACTCTTAACCACTACACCACACTGGCTCTCAATGTATAAGATCTAAGGCAAGTTCTGAAGGACATGAAGAACCATCCTTGCTACAGCTAAGTAGATCTGGGTTTGTCCAGTTCCTGAATGGGGGTGGGGGACCACTTGGCTATATCCATTACCCACAATCAGTCAGCTGTGGAGCTATGCTGACAGGAGAGATCTGGCCTTCTTTCCCCTCCTCACTGCAGCCCATTGAACTATGAGGCTCTCTACTCCATGGGGGTCTTCTGACCCTGGGAAATCATGTTCCCAGTGTTGGAAAGGGCTGTTGTGGAGAGGGGAATGGCTGGAAGATCCACAAGCTTGAGGAAGAGGATTGCTGGATCCAACTCACTGCTTTGAGTTCCACAGAAGAAAGGCAGGATATACATATTAATAAATTACATCTAAAGATATAATCCATATCAATTTTTGGTGCAGCCTGGAGTACCATGTACATTGTTGTCATCTCATGTAAAACAGAGTATTGTAAAACTGAGGGAGGGATGCTGAGCACAGCAACCAAGATGATGTCTTCATCTTTCCTATACAGAAAGATTAAAGAGTCTATGGCAGGGGTCCCCAACTATGTTCCCTCTAAGCTGTGGAGTCTTATGAGTAAAAATTCTACTTTGTGAGCTACTGGCATTCAAGTTGTGAGCGAGCCATCTGGCTGCTGCATAAATTAGTTTGCTCTGAGCCATCCTTCCTGAGCTAAGACAAAAATGTGTGAGCCAGAGGCTAAAACTCTGAGCTAGCTCACACTAACTCAGCTAAGAGGTAACACTGGTCCCCAACATGGCGCCCAAGTGATTTTAGAAAGTGAGCGAGATCAGGTGGGATTCCTGACCAGCAGGGTTTCTGATTGACTGTGCAGATTAAAATAATATTGTTTTGGCAGCAGCTGCCGCCACAGTATTAGTTTTGTTCTCTCCCTCACCCTTCTTTTCTGGTGTATTTTTTAAAATTACTCCTTTTTTCCCCTGTACTTGGACTTCCTCTGTGTGTGTGTGTGGGGGGGCTCTACCTCCTATGCTGGCCATTTTGTGGTTGGCTTCACCTACTGTGGCAGCCATTTTGTGGTTGTACCCAGCACCCTCTGTCAGGATTCCAAAGATGTCCACAGGCTCAAAAAGGTTGAAAACCTCAGACTTTTAAGCTAAGGAAATAAAGTGTGTGTGGGGGGAGAAATATCACTGTTAAATTAGGAACCATGTCGAAAGAAGTACTGTAGAGATCATCCTGTGACTTGACTTGCTGTAGAGTCAGTTTAAAAAATCCCCTGTAATTTACCCCCATCCCTCCCCACTCTCTTTACAGGCCCTACTCAGTGGACTGGAACAGAGCAAAATGCCCTGCCCTACCTCACCTTGCCAAGAGTGGAGAAGCTGAGCTGAAAGAGGAAGGAAAGGATCTCCACCAGATCCATGCCCCGGGTCTGTAGGGAGCAATGCAGAGAAAGGCAAGGGGTCAAAAACACAACTGGGGGACAAACAGAGCAGCTGGGGCTGAGGTTGTGGGCAGTCACCTCCGCTGACTGGAGATATTGCAGCATGAAGTACCAGAGCTGAGACGAGGTGTCCAGCAGCAGGAACTGGAAGCCGGAAGACGTGATGCAAGGTGGTTCTCCAGGCTCACTACTGAAGAGAAGAGCAAGGCACAGAGGTCAAAGGCAAAATGGTGTTAAAACTTTGGGGGGGGGGGTGGAAGAGGGTGTGCCTTACTTCTGTATAGCTCTCTCTCTCACATGCATACACACACATACCATGTAAAGGAGCATATTTTTTCCACACAAAGGAAGCCTTAACTAAGCGAGGATATCCCAGCACTCTCTTATGTCCTGTTTTCAAGACAGGAAGTAGTTCTTTCTATAGGGAACGGTCCACTCTATGGTGGACAGAGGCATTACAGGAAAGAATGGAGCAGCTGCTATTCCAGTATTCAGTTAGGAACAGAGACACAGCCTCTTACGTAAAGAGGTCTCTATATTCCTCTGGCCTCCTCAGTTTTTATCTCCCCTGTGAGGACCAGAGTGTGCATTATAGATGCCAAGGGGAGGAGGGGGGGTGTTCTAAGATGTTCCCTGACTTGGAGCCTCATCAGTGACAGGACCAGGGGTCATTTCCTGCAGGAACGCACAGGAGCGGAGCTCTGGCAGCAAAGAGCCCAGGGGGTGGGCACATGAAACAAGCCCCACCCCCTGCTCCCAGCAGCCCCCAGTTGGGCCACAAGGAGCAAGAAGCAGCCAGGTAAGTTGCAGAGCCTCCCCCCCATAGCTGGCAATCCAAAACAGTCCAGTGGCACCTTTAAGACCAAGTTTTATTCAGGTACAAGCTCTCCCTTCTCTGCGAGGGCAGATCTCCACGTTCCCCCTCCCCCACTAGCTAGCAATCCAAAACAGTCCAGTGGAGCCTGAGCGGTGGGTGTTGCCTTCTGACACACTTCCGGTGATGTCAGAGGGTGTGGCATATACAAATAAGTTATGCTAATGAGTTATGCTAATGAGCTCCTGCACCTCTTTTTCAATTTCAATTTATTACAGGTCTTTATGACCGAAGTCTTGACCAAGAGGATACCAAAGGGGGATAAAATAGGTACATAAAATAGACATAAATATGTCAAGGTACATAATAACAGTCACATAAAACCCAGGCTGAACCCAGAGATTAAAAATTACCTAACTACACTTGGGGCGGAGCCAACTAACTAAAATCATCCGAAGATTAAAAATTGGTGTCGAAGTTTTCAGAAGTGCTGGACTTTTCAATGCTTCTTGAGAGCAGCCACCTTAGCCAGGAACTGCGCCACGTTAGCTGTTATCAGTCCATCGGCATTTGAGTCCGCTAACAGTACTGAGAGCACCCAAGGTTGCGCGGGAAGATTCATCTTCGTGAGAATAGGAGAGATATAAGTGCCTCTAACTTGAGTCCAGTGGGGACAGCGAAATATCAGGTGATCTAAGGTTTCAATTTCGCCAGAATTGCACAGACAAAGGCGATCTGAGTAAGAAAGGCCTCCAAATCTTCCCAGAGTTACCATTGTTGGAAATACATTTAAGCGGGCCAGCATAAAGGCGCGGCGGTGAGATGGAATTGATAACGTTGAATAAAAGTCAGGAAATCTCTCTGGAGGGGACAACCCCAAAGCCAACGGAGAGCAGGTGCGCCTTGCCCTGGCCACGGTGCTGGCCCAATCCAACTGTTTGAGTTTCTTCAAGGTTTCCTCAAGCTGAGAGGGCATCAGCTCTGCGTTAGGTGAGGACATCGGCACTCCCAATGTCCTGAGTTTACCAGCAAGAAGGGACAACCAAGGGTTGGATGTCGTGTCCTTTAAGATGGAACGAAGAAAGCCGGCCTGGGGGTGATGACTTGGGTCAGATAACTTAAATCTCAACTTGATTGCCCTCTTCCAAGCACGTGCTTCACCTCTTTTTCTACAAAATGACCCCTGCCACAGGACTAAAATTTTTATTCCTTAAGCATGGTGTTGGATTAAAGCTGCTGTTTACTGAAGGTTATAGAAACAGAGACGCCAGGACCAAGTGACCAAATGCCATTCCGTTACGTCAAAGGAGGCCAGAATACTGCCCCATCCGCACTTCATTCCCAGTCTCATAGCCCTAAATCTTTTTAAATCATCTGTTCAGCTTGGCCACTTACCTCTTCATCAGCCCAGCTTCAATGAGCAGCTGAGCTAAGTCTTGACTCACTGCTGCACTTGGAGAGCCCACCATAAAGTGCAGGATGACCTAAGGAAAACATATGGGGGGAAAAAGCAGAAGGCTCAGACCTCTTTGGCTGCATCTTATAGTCCCATTCATAGCAAATTGCCATGTAAACATAGCTGACATACTACCTGGCCCAGTTTGGTTGAAAAGGGGATGTGGTCTCCAACAGCACACCCAGGACAGGGCCAGCCAAGGGATCCCAGGAATGCACCCTGGGATGGGCTTATGAGGTAGCAAGGGCTGTTGATTCAACACTATCTATGTAATTGACCCACTGAAATCAGCCACTAAGGGAAATGGAAATAAGCTGAGACTTCCATCCAAGGATTGGTAAGCCCATTATTTGAAATGTCCCCAGTATAGATGTGGGGCAGTGATTTATCCTGGTTAGACTCAGACTGAAGGATATGGAAATGCAGCAAACACAGGTAAAGACTTTACACTGAATCAAACTGTTGGCGCATAATTTCATACTATCTACTGGCAGTGATCCTAAAGTCTCGTTATCCCAACCCCTGCTACCTGAGGGTTTTTAAGCTAGAGAGGCCAGGGATTGGTCCTTCTGTGTGCAAGTCACGGGCTCTACTACTAGTGGGGAAAGAAGAAAGAAAGAAAGAAAGAAAGAAAGAAAGAAAGAAAGAAAGAAAGAAAGAAAGAAAGAAAGAAAGAAAGAAAGAAAGAAGGAAAGAAGGAAAGAAGGAAAGAAGGAAAGACCCTACTATTCCCCGACTCATCTCTCGCTACCCAAAGGAGAATCCTTGAACAGAACCAGAAGATCCTTGGTGAGGTGCAAGAGTAACAGCAGTTCCTAAGGATTTATTTCAGAGATAAGCCCCTCCAACCACAGCTACCATACAGCCCTACTGTTAGCCAGGAAGACGACAAAGGACAAAAGGTACTCACCTCCCACCTCTCCTCAGCATACTTGTCAAGGGATGGGACATCTCGGGCATGTTTGTCTGGGCCCAGCTGGCTGGTGTCATCAGACCAGGCCTTGCCTCTACATGGGCAGGATGAGAGGCAAGACATAATCTAGTTTAAACATATTCATGCTGTTGCCAATGTAACATGCAAACCACAGTTGAAGAACGCCATGAAAGAGCCCTCACCCGGATAGCCCAGGCAAGCCCGATCTCGTCAGACCTTGGAAGCTAAGCAGGGCTGACCTTGGCAAGTGCTTGGAAGGGCGACCTCCAAGGAATACCACAGCTGGGATGCAGTCAGGCAATATCAAGCCACTTCTCTGAAACGTCCTAGACGCACTAGGAGTCGCCAGAAGTCACCATGACTTCCAGGCACTCAAGCACACATGCATACAAAATACTCACCCCCCCCCCAAAAAAAAAGAACGCCATGAAAGAGATGGAGGTGGAAGGGGAAATTGCATTTGAGAGGAGGGGGCAGAGAATTTCTATTACAGAAGCACATGTCAATTGTTCCTCCTGCACTGAAATGAAGTCACGCTTTTCTTAGCCTTCTCTTCAGAATCACAGCCTTCTGCCTCGATTCTCAAGCCACAAATACGTTCAGGGTACTCACTTACCCTCCTAGCAGAGCGATGCGCAAGTTCTCCTTGAAGATGGGGTTCAAGATGATCCCTTGGAGACCCCCTGGCAGCAACTGCGTGTGCCAGAGTCGCAGCCCCAACAAGATATCTGAGCTTTCGTCCTGCTCCCTGCAGAATGAGAGATAATTGTGAGATAAGTGAGTAGCACAGAATCTAAAAGAAACACATAAGGATGAGAAGGTAATGGACAAACCGACAAAGTTCCTTCTTGATCACAGCACCAACATGGTGGAACTCTCTCCCCAGGGGCATCCATCTATGCCCTTCCATCACTGTCTTCTGTCCAGCCGGTGAAGACTTTTATGTTTCGTCAGGCATTTCCTTAATGACTTCTTGCTGCCCTATGTTTTAATTGCTGGCTCTTTTTAAAAAAAAAATACGTATTTTATTTCTGGTTTTCTGCTGTGTGTTAGAATGGTCTGCTTTTAATTGTTAGCTGCCTTGGTGTCTCTGACTGGACAGAAAGTTGGGATAATAATTTTGTAAATTAAAAAAAATGAGCTGGTTGGCTACTGTGTGAAACACAATGCTGGAGTAGATGGACCACTGGCCTGATCCAGAGTACCTCTTATGTTTGATGTAGAAAGAGCCAGTTTGGTGTAGTGGTTAAGAGTGCAGACTCTAATCTGGGAGAACCAGGTTTGATTCCCCACTCCTCCACATGCAGTCAGCTGAGAGACTTTGGGCCAGCCACAGTTCTCAGAGCTCTTTCAGCCCCACCTACCTCACAGGGTGTCTGTTGTGGGGAGGGGAAGGGAAAGGAGATTGTAAGCTGCTCTGAGACTCCTTTGGGTAGTGAAGGGTGGGGTATAAATCCAATCTCTTCTTCTTCTACGTTGATACATAGGGACAGACACACTCCACAACCACGGAACTCCCTTCCCGAGATTCATCAAAGCCTAGGCTGCAGAATTTCCAGAACCATTCTCATCTGGGCTGGCTTTCAACAGCCATCATTAAGCAGCAGAAGAAGAACTAGTTTTATACTCCGCTCTTCACTACCTGAAGGAGTCTCAGAGTGGCTTCCAATCACCTTCCCTTCCTCTCCCCACAACAGACACCCTGTGAGGTGGGTGGGGCTGAGAGAGCTCTGAGAGAACTGTGACTGACTCAAGGTCACCCAGCTGACTGCACGTGGAGGAGGAGTGGGGAATCAAACCCAGTTCTCCAGATTAGAGTCTCCAGCTCCTAACCACTACACCACAGTTGGCTCTCAAGGCTTAGGGGACTTTAATTTATTCAGCCTACTGGTTTCATTTTAACGGAAACTGAAGGTGGTTTTAATACACTGTCATGCAACTCTCTGGGGATGGGGCATATCAGAAATTCAAGCCCAGAACTTACTTGACATATTCCTTCTTTACCCATGATGCCACAGCTGCTTGAGGGAGGGGCTGTCCCAGGAAGAGCATTCGCATGACATAATTCTTAGCCAATCCTGGCAGCTCACTAAAAAATAAAGAACATGACAATTTCTCAGATACTTAATGCCAAAGGATACTAAATGTTTTTACCAAATATCTCTTGCCCAAAAGTCACCACAAAGGTTCAGTCACATCACCCCAGAAGCTCCCTTTCTGTAAAGACTTAAATGGTATTCTGCTTATTGTGCCAGAGATGCCAGTTAGATAAATTATGAAAACTTCCACAGAAGTTTTACTCCCTTGTAATTTCCACCCATTAGATCTAGTCTTGCAATCCGGAGCAAGAGAGAATAGATCTGCTCCATCTTCTACATGACAGCACTTCAAAAAGAACGTGTTCAAATTCTTTAGTGAAAAAAGCTTTCACAAGACAGACATAAAATGTGTTTTATTTTTAATTTTTAAAACTTAAGACCATGGTAAATGTATCTACCTCAGGAAACAGCCCATTTTAACAATGATTTAAAGAACCATGGCTATTTAATTTAAATAACAGGAATAGATTTTCTGGTTTCTCTGAACAGCTGCAATCAAATAGAAGAAGAAGAAGAGATTGGATTTATACCCCACCCTTCACTACCCAAAGGTGTCTCAGAGTGGCTTACAAACTCTTTTCCCTTCTCCTCCCCACAACAGACACCCTGTGAGGTAGGTGGGGCTGAGAGAGCTCTGACAGAAATGGCTCTTTTTCAAGGACAGATCTTGTCAGAACTATGGCTTGCCCAAGGTCATCCAGCCAGGTGCAAGTGGAGGAGTGGGGAATCAAACCCGGTTCTCCCAGATTAGAGTCCGCACACTTAACCAGTACACCAAACTGGCTCTGCAGCCTAATTTAGAAGTGACACCAGAATGCAAAAAACCCCAAACTGCACAGTGATCCTTACACACCCAATGTCTTCTGTATTCCTACAAATACACTGTTAGCATGCCAGAGACCTATAGCCCAGCATTATCAGGCATGAATTGTCCATATCTTGTTATCAGCAATCTGGGTTGTTAATTATTGCTTCCCTATTGGGCAGTGAGGGAATGGCATTTCTATGCAAAGGAAGACGTGGATTCTCACTCACCGGAAGACTGCTAAGCAGGTGGCAGGATGATTGTACAGGCGGTCTAAAATCCCTGGGCTAAGGCCCCGCAGGAATTCATGAAGGTTCTTGCATTTCAGCTGCACTCTCTGAAGCTTCATCACAGAGTCCATAACAGTCTACAGGCCAAAGAAGGTAGGTATAGGTAAGGGACTCTGATCATTTGAAACGTGGTGCCGGAGGAGAGTTTTATGGATACTGTGGACAGCCAAAAAGACAAATAAGTGGATTCTAGATCAAATCAAGCCTAAACCTGTCCCTAGAAGCTAAAATGACTAAACTGAGGCTTTCATTCATCGATCACGTCATAAGAAAACAAGACTCACTGGAAAAGACAATAATCCTAGGAAAAACTGAAGGGCAGTAGGAAACAAAGAATACCCAACATGAGATGAATTCAAGCAGCAAAGGAAGCCATTGCCTTCAGTTTGCAAGATCTCACAGAATCATAGAATATTAGAGCTGGAAGGTACCTTGCAGATCATCTAGTCCAACCCACTGCACTCTGTAGGAGAATAGCCCAAAAGATGGTCGTCCAGCCCCCGATTGAAAACGTCCAGCGAAGGAGCATCCACCACCTCCCGAGGCAGTCTGTTCCACTACTCAACCATTCTTACAGTTAGGAAGTTTCTCCTGATATTTAGCCAGTAACGACTCCCTTGTAATTCCCACCCATTAGATCTAGTCTTGCAATCCGGAGCAAGAGAGAATAAATCTGCTCCATCTTCTACATGACAGCCCCTCAAATATTTGAAGACTGCAATCATGTCCCCTCTAAGCCTTCTCTTTCCCAGGCTAAACATACCCAACTCTTTCAGCCTTTCCTCATAAGACTTTGATTCCAACCCTCTCACCATCCTGGTTGCCCTCTTCTGGACACGCTTGAGCTTGTCAACATCCTTCCTAAAATGTGGTGCCCAAAACTGGACACAGTACTCTAGGTGAGGCTTGACCATAGCAGAATAGAGCGGGACTACTACCTCCCGTGATCTGGACACAATGCTTCTGTTAATGCATCCTAAGATTGCATTAGCTTTCTTCGCAGTCACATCGCACTGCAGGCTCATATTTAGCTTGTGATCAACCAGAACACCTAGATCCCTTTCACATGTGCTGCTGTCAAGCCAAGTCCCTCCCATTCTATATCTGTGCCTTAGATTTTTTTGTACTTAAGTGTTGGACTTTGCACTTATCTCTACTGAAATTCATTTTATTTGTCTCAGCCCATCTGAGCAAGGCTTTTAATGATAGGGCAGTTTTAAAATAATTAATTAATTAAGATCACCATACGGTGGAAGCCGCTTAACAGCACATAACACATACAAAAGGAATTCTGAACTGTGTTCCTTGCAGTATATAACACCCCCACTACAACTACCACAATGATAAGGTGCATCTGATCTGGGGGCTGGTATGAAAAGCACAATGAATAAGGACAAAAACAAGGGTTCCCACACCAACGCAACACCGTAAGTAGTGATGTTACACCAGCATAGCAAGACACACAGGATGTGGCATTACCAAGTGCACCAACATCAGACAGTGCGACTGCGCAATGCAAATTCTTACATGGGTCGAGACACTTGGCGGAGAAACCAATACACTGGGCACAGTCTTATCCTCTTCAACATAACCCAGGACTCATCTTGCACTTATGACTCTCAAGCATTACTATTAACCTATTTTCCCCAAATGCAGGTGTTGGCAAGGAGAGAGACATAAGTGTTTTGAGGGACGTGGAAGCAGAGATTACCTGATTGTCCCCGGCAAATTAATCAGCCTGAAGGGAATTGGTTGTCCAGTGTTTCAAGTGAAGATCTCCCTAATTCTTGTCATATATAAGGGGAGGGATACAGGGTTGCCAGCTCTGGGATGGGAAATTCCTGGAGATTTGGGGGTGTAACCTGGGGAGGGACTTCAGCAGGGTATAATGCCATAAAGTCCATGCTCCAAAGTTGCCATTTACTCAAGGGAAACCAGCCTCTGTTATCTGGAGATGAGCCGCAATTCCAGGAGATCTCCAGGCCCCACCTGAAGGTTCGCAACCCTATGTAGGAAGGAATACTAGAGGTGGGAGTCTGTTCTGGAATTCCTTCCCTCATCCCACTGGGGAATGATTTATATAAAAAATTGCAGCTGGTAAATACTGTTACTAGAAGCTAGAGAGAAGGAGATGCAAAAGACGTTTAGAGAGCAGGCCTAAGCCATGTGACAGAGCAAAGCAAGGCAGTGTGTTCAGTGAAGAAAAGTTGCCTAGCAACCAAAGTTTGTCAGAACCGGCAGGCTTGGAAGCTAGTGAGTTTGTGAGGGCCCAGCCAAGTAGATGACTCTTTGAAGCCTCTATCTGAGCAAGCAACAAAGAAAATTCAGGGACGAGTACCTGAATACCCAGTCTGATTCATTATATGAAAGAAGAGACTGTTCAAGCAAAGTGTTAAGAGAAGAAATGGAGATATATGGGAAAGAAGTGAACAGATGGTACTGCCATTGCTGTACAGAAATCAACTTATTCAGCGAGCCTATGATAATTCTTTTGTGGGTCACTTAAGGTTAACCAAAACCGGACAGTTTTATTGGCCAGGTAGCGGATGCCAAGTTGCAGACTTCTGCAAGTCATGCCATGCCTCCCAAGTGACAGGGACAAGGGAAAGGTATCACTTGTCATTGCGCTGGCTGTCTCTCATGAGTGCTATAGATATTGTGGGACCTCTGTCAAGGGAAGAAAGGAGGGAGTAAACACTTTTCACTCTCATGGATTATGCCACAAGTCAGCAATCCTAACCAGGTTTACTCAGAATCCTACCCAAGTCTAATCCATGGGCCTACTTGCAAGAAAGTGTTTTTAGGATGGCACTGCCAAGACCTATACATGCAGCACAAAGAGATGGAAAAGTCCTTAGATTATGTCTCTTAAATTCTGCAGGGGCAGAATCATATTTTTTCCAATTCTCCAAGTTAAAAAAAAGTCCATGCAAGTGGTAAGCTAGCACATCAAGGAGATGACTACATTGAATTACTTTCAGATGTACTAGCTTACTAGAGGCAGGGTGTTTTCCACTGGATGCAGTATTCCAAATGGCGACCCCCCCCCACTTGCAGTCTCCAATGATATAGTCAATTTGGCCATCACATTCTGTTGCGTATCTGGACCCAGCCTATTGAAAGGTGTAACTTCCTCAGACCTGAGTCAGAAATGAGCATTAATGGCTCAAGAGGTCATTCTGGACATTTCTGCTCTACTTGGCTTCTGCTCCTGTTATTAGATGTAGAGCCAACATATGCCTGTTTCCACGACTGAGCTCAGGGCCAGCGTCAGTGAACCGTGAGGTGGGGCAGCTGCCAGGGCCTGTGGTTTCTGCTGGGGCCCACTGCTGCTGATCCTCTGCTCATTCATATCCTCTGATGCCTGTCCTCACACCCTTCCCCTCCTTGCCTAGGAGTGCTTTGTTACCTACAGTCTCAGTTGCATATGCCACCTAGCACTGCTGGAGAAGGGCATGTGGGCGGCTATGGCAGCAGCATTCCTAGCGGCACCCACCACTCAGCACCATCAGAAGGACATACAGGCAACGTGAGCAGCTATGACCAGTGTTTCCTCTAAACTGAGTGTGAGCTAGCTCCAGCTCACCCATTTATGTCTTAGCTCAGGAAGGGATGGCTCCAGAGCAAACTAAATTATGAAGCGGGCAAATCACTCACTCACAGCTTGAATGACAGTAGCTCACAAAGTAGAATTCTTGCTCACAGGACTCCATAGCTTAGAGGGAACATTGGCTATGACTGCAGATTATGGGAGAGTTTTGCAAGCAGGTAGAGGAAGGACTCACAGGCAGGGGAGGGCATATAAGTGGGCAAGAAGGAGTTCCAAGTAGTGGGCGGAGGGCCCCTGAGCATTTTCTTCCCGGTGGCCCCCAAAACCTGGAACTGCCCCTGACTGAGCTCAATAGACCCCCCGGTAGGTACGCACAGGAAACATTACAGCCTTTGTCATCATATCGCACTATTAAATGCGCAAAGCCATTTTGCATATTTTATACCGTCTGTCGGGAGCGAATGGCAAATAGATAAAATTGCCTGCTTGTCTCCACGGCCAATTCCCCAAGTCCCCCATTAAAGTCAGCAGCGTCCCCTTTTTTATTCCCCTGCTGTGAACAGTGACTTCATTTTGTCTCTCCCTGCCTCCCCGTATTTGCTCCCCATCTTCTCCCGTCTGCTTCTCCGTAACCGCGGCCAACCCCGAGGCTCCCTCCCCGCAACTCACCGGGCTTGCATCTTCCAGTCTTCGAACTCTTATGGCCTTCCGGAACCACAGAGTACAGCCGCTCCTCCCCTTCCGATGTCGTTCGAAGTCCCGTCATGCATTTCACACAGGAAACCGGCATGTTGCACGTGAGTGGCTTTTCGGCAGGCAGCGGCGTGATCGGCAAAGAACGTTGCCTTCTGCTCCGTTTGCAGTCGGTGCATTTGAAGGTCAATCAGAAGGCAGGTTTATTAGAATACCGGGGTTGTAACGAGAGCCGGGACTCCTAGGTACTTTCCCCAGCTCTGCGAATGGAAAGGGAATGGGGTGCAGTGGCTAGAGCAAGTGGTGGTACCGAGTCCTAGGGATGCCATCTTCCAGGCGGGAACTGGGGAATCCCTTGGAATTATAGGTCATCTCCAGACTACAGAGATCAGTCCCCATGGATAAAAGGGATACTTTGGAGGGTGGACTCTGTGGCGTTGTACCCCACTGAGGTCCCTGTTCTCCCCAGGCCCCATTCTCAAATCTCCAGGAGCTTCCCAACCTGGATCTGGCAACGCTACCGAGTCCTGTTGACAGGCTCTTGTGCCTTCATTGCATCCACAGGGTTGGGTAGAGGCTTCTCACCCGCTGAATTTCTGCCTGCTGATAAACCCCCCCCCCCCCCCCCCCGCTGTGCTGGAGGGAGAGGTAGAAATTCTCTCGATACAGACGCAGAGGCAAGAATGTGGCATAAGATTGTGGAGGCATAAAGAATGATTCCTCCTACTATTTTTTTAAAATCATTTTTTTTTCAAATTAACATACAATACACAGTACATCCAAACATAGGTACAATATGTAGTGTCATGCATAAGATAACAGTTCTAACTTAACCCTTGTGAGAGGATTACAATATTTGAAGTTTCTATATGAATGTCTCCAAAATTGTTAAACTGTTACAAGGTAAGTATTAGTAGTATTTTTCAGTGGTAATTTGAAGTAATGGATTAGAGGATTAAAAAAGTACTCTGGGAACAGAGCAAGCTCGCTTAACTGGCATGAGGCCCCCATTTGATAACATTCACATGCATAAGTAGTTCAGATGTCAGGGTATATACTTCTGCTTTCTCCTTTCTTGACAAGCCAGGGGTCAACCAGCATGTGTGAAACATTTCTGAAATTGAATCTTATACATGTGATTAAGGGTCTTATCTAATTTTGTTGTTGGGGTTTGTCTTCGTGCAGATTTTATCTTCTATGTGCCTACCGAAGAGAGAAGGGATTTCTATGAGCCGTGAGACAGGCATCATAGTTTGTCACCCACACATCTATAGGGATTGAATACAGCCACTTGCAAACATGCCATCAGCCCAGCTTAATTCCAGTACCAGCCGGAGGCTACATTCTCTCTGCCGTCTGCTTCTTTCCAAGAAGAGAAGCTGGGAGGTGCCTGGTGGGTGGAAAGCATATTCCCAAGCTAATAAGCCTGATCCCAGTAAACAGGCAGGTAAAACGTCTCATCTGAAAAACCGGGCGGAGAAACAGAAGCGGCAACGGGAGAGGATGGAATCCATTGAAGTCAGGATGGCGACAGGCCTGAAGGTGAGGCAGCCTGGAAAAGCAGAAGATGGCCAAATGTTGACTTGAGTGGCTGATAATTAACAGGGGAGTGAAGTTAGGTGCAGTGGAATGGGGTGGCAGGAGGTGAAGCGGGAGACCATAGCATGGTGGTTTTGTGATCTGTTGCACGGAGCATAAAGTATGCAGGATTTATTTAAAATATTTGGTAGTACTCTTTTTCTCAAAACAAAAAAATGCCCAGGGTCACTTGCATCCACTGTGACAAATATTAATAGCTAAAAACTGGCAAATTATTGTGCAGCAATAAAAAAGTAGCCAATAAACTTCCTGTTTAAATCCCAGCAGAGTTAAATATGTTTTAGTCAAGCTAAAGTACTGCACATGGTGTGCACAGTTCTAAGATAGACCAATATTTTCAGGTTTTACAAAACAAAAACGAAACCCAAATAACCAGTTTCAAATAAATCCTATGGAAAAATATTCTTACCTAAGCTCCTAATGGTTAGAGAGGTGGGTACCCAGTAAGTCAAAGTGCCATCAAAGTAAAGGCCCTGGCTGCTGCCCACCTTACCTCTGAAGGTGGGGCATGCAAAGCAGGACCACTAAGGGCAGATTGGCAGCAAAAGCAATTGAACGAGTGTACCACTGAGGACTGTGGTGTTGCACAGGTATAATATAAATTGTCCAGATTACCTGTGAGTAGATGCAGTTATACATACTTCAGCTTTGATTTGGAATGAAGACTGAAACAGGTTTTATATGGTACTGAGTGAGCTGCAATAAAGCCCAGTCTTGTCCAATCTCTTCGGAGCTTGGAAACTAAGCAGGGTTGGCCATGGTTAGTATTTGGATCGGAGACCACCAAGGAAAATCTGGGTGCTACACAGAAGCAGGCAATGGCAAACCCCCTCTGGTTATTGCCTTAAAAACTCCATAGTCCTGAGGTTGCCATGAGTCAGTTGTGACTTGGTGGTACACAGTTGTTGTTGTTGTTATTATTATTCCTTCCGTCTGCATTATATTGTATGTATTTTATGCTGCTCCCAATCGAATGGTGCTTGATGTCACTGCTTTCTCCTCTGCCCGAAAGTCTGTTTTTAACATTTATCTTGTTTTTTCCCTTCCCCAGAAAGAGCTTCCAAGGCAAACCAAGACCTTGGCTTTGAAAAGTGAAGTTCTGTATGACATCCCCACGGAAGCTGGAGAAAAGAAAGGTATAGTGGAATTTTTTAAAACTCTTTTTTCTTCATAGGGTGTGCTTCATCAAGAAAGGTAAAGAAAGAACCATAGTCCGAAATAGCAAGCTCGGTACAAAAATTATCAGAAATTGTGGGCCAAAGGAACCCCAGGGGATCAGAATTTGGCCCAATTAAAATGCAGTGTTAGTGGGCAGGAAGAACTGACATATGCTGTGCACAGAGTCTCTACATTAAACTGGGCCCTCACTGGCTGTGTGTGCAGCGCTAGCACATCATGATAGCAGGCCTTGTCCTAGCATGCTAGTAGTGTTGCACGCATAGCAGCTGCAGGCCCACTTTAAATAAGACCCTGGGCATATTTTATCTATTTATTTATTTACATTATTTATGGTGTGCCTTTCTCACAGGGACTCAAGGTGTATTACACATAGTGAGTCAGTACAATCAACAAAATGGGACATTCAATAACCGAACTGAAGCACTGCATAAGTATTAACATGATGCATTAAGTGGTACAGAGATTGCATAATGGGATACAAGCATGGACGGCTTCAAGAGGGAACTGGATAAGCATATGGAGCAGAGGTCCATATCAGTGGCTATGAGCCACAAGGTATAGATAGGAACGCTCAGTCATGGACAAGTGATGCACTGTATTCTTGGTGCTGGGGGGGGGGGCAACAGTGGGAGGGCTTCTAATGTCCTGGCCCCACTGCTGGACCTCCTGATGGCACCTGGTATTTTTGGCCACTGTGTGACAGAGTGTTGGACTTGGTGGGCCATTGGCCTGATCCAGCATTGGCTTCTCTTATGTTCTTATGATCCTACCACAATAAGCTATACACAGTAGTATAGACCACAGTCCCAATCATTTATCATGGTAAGCATGTGAACCATTTTGTATGGTGCAACCCTATTACCTGTGCAGAGAAGCCCTCTTGAATAGTTCAGGTTTGTGTATATGCTGAATGCCAGGAGAGTGGGAGCTTTCCTGACCTCCTTGGGCAGGCCATTCTGCAAGGTGGGATTCACAAATGAGAAAGTGCGTGTGTATATGGGCAGCTGCTGATTTTGCCCATTTTGCAGCATTTGCAGATTGGCACCCACAGATGGTGGAAGGGGTGGGTGGGGCAGCTATGTGTACTTTAGGTTCTTGAAATGTACAAAGAGCATAGAGCAGAACTGTAATCACAGAATGAGGGAGAAGTTAATATCTTGCCTATTTATTACAATCTGTGTTCACAAATACTGGCATTCACAAGTATTCTCAACAGGGTGAGTTAACCTATTATGCGATGATTTCAGTGTTGCTAATTTTATAATATGATCAATTTGAATGCATCATCCAAATATTTGTGATATGATCAATTTGAGTGCATCATCCAAATATTTGTGAAAGACAGCACTGTGACCAGACGATATTATAAAGTGGTGGGTTTTGGGTAGGGGTGAGGACGTTGTTGATTTAGGGTGGCCTTTCCTCCCTCTTCACCCTCTTGTGGGGTTCCGGTTCTTGAAATGTAACCTTGTTACAAATGCAAATGTAAGCCCACATGAAATAAGCAATAGCCATCAAAAAGAAAGCCAAGCCATTTTTACAGGTCGCTCATCCTGTGTTCCTTGTGGTTGCTTATATAGTTGCATTAGTGCATACGGCTTGTCACAAAGTAACATAAATAAGATAGGTGGGTCTTACTATTACCTTACTATCTAAATTACAACAGCTGGGAAGATGACAAAGTGAGATTGGGAAAAGGGAAGGCAGCCAAGTGCCAGAGATACAAGGAAAATTCTACTTTGTCTCTTTCTAAGGGTCAGACATTGCCACACATTTCCAAGATTTCCCTCTTCCATCATGTAATAATTTGACTACACTTATGCAGTTGAAACCCTGAACAAATTCTAACAATAACAACATGGTCCTCTGTATGTTTGTCTTACCCACAGATACCTCGGGGCCACTGCCTGCCTCCTATAGCCCACGCTACATTGAAGATGCTTGGTATGCTTGGTGGGTGAAGGAGGGATTTTTTAAGCCGGAATACCAGGTAGAGAATTATATGATGCAAATGACTTGTATTCTGTGGAGAAGAAATTAAATAAATAAATAAAATATTCAGTTCTGTTGTAAATGAATAAGATTAGGGCTCTTCCCTCAACCTTGATGGATGGACAAATGAACAGACAGATCTCGGAGCTGGTGATGCTATAAGGTGCCACTGGGTTGCACCTGTAGATGGAGGTTGTTCTGTCTTCAGACTGTGAATCCTAGCAGCTAAGAGTGAGAGAACTGACTCACACAGGCAGCAGAATGAGGTTGTAGCATGGGCTGTACTGCTTCAGACCTCAGGTGGTTGATTCCGCCTTTGGATGGTCCTTTGGTGTTTGGTGTAGTGGTTAAGTGCGCGAACTCTAATCTTGGAGAACTGGGTTTGATTCCCACTCCTCCACTTGCACCTGCTGGATGACCTTGGGCAAGCCATAGTTCTGGCACAGCTGTTCTTGAAAAAGAGCAGTTTCTGTCAGAGCTCTCTCAGCCCCACCTACCTCACAGGGTGTCTGTTGTGGGGAGGGGAAGGGAAAGGAGTTTGTAAGCCACTCTTAGACTCCCTTAAGTAGTGAAGGGCGGGGTATAAATCCCATCTCCTCTTCTTCTCTTCTTTGTGTAAAGAAATCACCACGTGGATAGAAAGCTAGCAAGCAGGAAGAAATGTTCTAACCCCCCTCCCTTGGCTGCTTGTGCTGGCTTTCTACTTGCAGGCAGATTTTAACATACCAAAATGTGGTCCTCCATCTACAGTCTGTAGCACTAGCTCAGGTCTCTGCCACCTCATTGACCTGCATATGTGAACCAAGCTCAAGTCACAAATCAGGAAGGTCCCCTGCTCAGATGTTTCCTCCGATACCAACTTACAGAAGAGACCCCCTCACTTCTGCAGGAGTATACCACATACCATGCAGTTGTGGACAAGTTTACATCGGGACCACACAGCGTAGCATTCAGACAAGAATAAAAGAACATGAAAGACACTGCAGACTTGGCCAACCTGAAAAATCAGCAGTGGCTGAACATAGCCTAACTCAAACAGGACACAGTATTTTGTCCCAAGACACTGAAAGGCTGGACAACACTTCCAATTACCATGTCAGATTACACAGGGAAGCCATTGAAATTCATAAACATAAACACAATTTCAACAGGAAAGAAGAGAGTTTAAAAATAAATAGGGCATGGTTTCCTGTTCTGAAAAACACAAAAGGCTCTACATCTGACAATAGCACTACAGATATGATTAGAATTTCAACAGCCAATCAACATACAAAAGAACCTCCTCAGGAAACATCCTCAGGAAACAATCCATATACAAAAGAACGTCCTCAAGAAAGTACCTCTATTAGCATGTTCACAGCCTGGGGAACTCCTACAAGACAATGACTTGGCCCTACGCCACCTTCTGGAGTAGATATAAATTACCTGCCTACCATTTTTCTTCTCACCTTGACCCAGAGAGTACTCCATCTTTCTGTGTTATACCTCTGAGGATGCCAGTCACAGCTACTGGCGAAATGTCAGGTTCTACAATCCCAAAACCATGGCCACATAACCCAGAAAATCAACAGCAATTAAATTACTGTGTTTTGTTAGGCAAGCCATTCTGTCATAGCTTCAGGCCCTCATCTGTAATCATTAGGGAGGGATGATAGTCCTCGCCATAGACAATTCTCTTTTCTCTCTCTTTTGGCAGCATCAGTTGCCCCATCAGAAACCCGAAGTGTTCTCTCTCTCCATCCCCCCGCCGAATGTCACGGGGTCCCTGCACTTGGGTCATGCTTTGACTGTAGCTATTGAAGATGCTGTGGTGCGGTGGTAAGTGACATCCCAGAAGGTCTGGGAGATGGCTACTCACCCAGGGGCCACTGGGCCATAAGCGGTGAAGTGGAATGGATAAAAAATGAATGTCAGGGGCATACAGGCAGAGCCATTTATCACCTAGCCGCCTTGTCCTGCTGGGGCGCCACCTAACCCTGAAGGTAATTCGGGAATCTGTGTGTGTAGCAAGAGAGCATTGGGCTTCTTTTGAGCCCCAAAGGGCTTGATAAGGCTTTTCTCTCCCCATGTATCTGTGTGTGCCTACTACACGTGGTGTTCCCCACCGCCAGGCAAATCTTATGCTGTGTTGTTGAGCTCTGATTTCTCCCTGATTGGGGAGGTGGGGGTGGAGGGAGTGAAATATTCTCTAGGCACCACTAACTTTAGTTCTGATTGGGCATTAGATAGGTAGGTGCCTGCTAGTTGTGTGTTTATCTTAAATGTTCTTATGTTGCCTTTCGACCCGATAAAGATATCTAGTGACAGGATATTGTACAGCTCCCAGATTCTGAGCTTTTGTGTTTTTGCATTTGATTGACATACCACAGGAAGAGGATGGAAGGCTGTCAAGTGCTGTGGGTTCCAGGTTCAGATCATGCTGGGATTGCCACTCAGGTGAGGAGCACCAATTCACACTAATTCAAAAGGGAAGCTTATGCAAAGGACAAATGCCTTCCTGTTGTCTGCCTCCTCATTATCATTTCTAGGGCATTAGCATTTAAACTTACTCTCTTTCTGTACAGTTATTGAAAATGTTTCTGATGTTTAATTTCATACAAAGCCTTCTTGAGGAATAATTTACCTTCTGACTGTTATTAATGGAAGCACCCAGGGTTTAGAGGAAGATAGGATGGGAAGAAGTGTCTAGTCAAGTTTCTCCCTGTGCATGGCTTTTAGATTGCTCTTTTTCTCATCTGGCCAGGCTGTGGTGGAAAGAAAAATCTGGAAAGAACGGGGGGCCCTTCGCCAAGACCTGACACGAAAGGAATTCCTGCAGGAAGTCTGGAACTGGAAAGAAGAGTAAGTGTGTGTGGATCTAGGCCTCCATTGTGGGACCTAAGCACTGACTGGGGGTGAAGGAGTGAATCTGTTGAGGTAAAACCGAAATGCACAAAGTTTATGGTAAAAAAAGAAGGAGCAAATTTACTTCCTTTCTTAGTAGAATGTAGCTGGCATATTTTCGTTAACCATCTGTAAGAAAAAGGGTGGGTTATTTATTCTAAAGCTGATCATTCCAGGAATGGACCTGAGCAACTTCCTTACCTTGTGACTCTGGTATTGCGCTGGTTTGATTTTGTAATAAATGGTTACTATACCAGGACATATCACAAATAACAAGATTGAGGAAGGGAGAACATCCTCTCCTCAACAACAACAAAAAAATTACTTCAGGGCAGCAATAAAAAAAAACCCAACTACATGAATTTCAGATTTCAGTGAGGTTTGTTTTTGTTTTTATTTTCTCTCTGAAATCAGGAAAGGGAATGAAATACTCCAGCAGCTGAAGGTGATGGGAGCATCGTTAGACTGGGACCGGGCCTGTTTCACCATGGATTCTGTAAGAAACAATGACATATATTGGCATATGAATGTCTATGTGATTCAAGATTTGTGGGTTCTCCACTCCCTTAAATTTACAGAGGAAAGTGACTGGACTTTGGAGTCAGACAGTGGAGGCAAGACTCCCGAACTACTTCTGAAGTAATTTGACACTATTAGCAACACCTGTTACTTCATCATCATATTTAGTTCCTAGATTTCTCTAGTGCTTGCAGAGCAAAAGTGTACCATTCACTAAAACACCCATCACATTAAAACATCATTAGAACCCCCCCCCCCAAATTGTTACAAATATCACAGCAGAAATATAGTTCTTACTCAAACTCGGCCTTTTGTATTAAACGTCTGGCAGAAGTTGAAGGTCTTGCCCATTCCATTGCTGTAATGAGATCAGTTAATGGGGGCATATTGACATAGTTTTTCACCGTGTAGGGGGCAGCCACTGAAAAGTCCTTGCTGTGTATGAATGTCAGTCTTGCCTCCACCAGAGTTGGTATCTTAAGTAGGGCCTCACCAGTAGCTCTTTAAAAGCTCGTATGAAACCTCCATGATACCTTAGATATAAACCAGCAGGTTGAATTGTGACCAGAAACCTATAGATAGCCAGTGTAATTCTGAGACCATGGTTGTAAATATGCTTCTTTATGCCCCCATATCTCAGGAGCTAAGGTTGGCCCTGGTTCGTACTTGGATGGGAGACCACCAAGGAAGTCCAGGGTTGCTACACAGAGGCAGGCAATGGCAAGCCACCTCTGAATGTCTCTTGCCTTGAAAACCCCATGAGGGGTTGCCATAAGTTGGCTGCACCAGTAGAAGTTTCCAGATGGTTTTCATGGGCAGTCCCATGTATAATGTGAGATTAACTTCTTTATAGTATAATCAGTAGAACAGCCTCAGTGTGACTCGGTGTCTAGAGTGTCGTAGCTCGCTGGCCAGCCGCGGTCTCTCAGCTTGATCCATCTAAGATGATTGTTGTGAGGCAAAGCTATTGCTCTGAGCTCCTTGGAGGAAGAACAAGATCCAAACTGCTGGTAATGGAGAGGCCCTGTGTTCAGGGCATTGGCCCAGAAGCCGGTGGGTTCATCTTTTATGTCTGCTGCAAACTGGCTTTAACCACAGTCAATTCCATTTCCTGTTCTTATATTCCCCAGGATTTCAACCAAGCTGTGACTGAGGCCTTTGTGCGTCTACACGAGGAGGGTCTGATCTATCGGGACAGACAGCTGGTCAACTGGTCATGTGCCTTGCGGTCCGCCATTTCTGACATTGAGGTATGGAACTGGTGTGAAGGCAAGGGTGGGAGAGCCTGGTTCTCTTTGTTCAGAGGCAGCTGACAGCTATTGTTGCTCTATCAGGTGGAGAACAGGCAGCTTGAGGGATGGACCGAGCTCTCTGTTCCAGGGGTCCCGGGCAAAGTGCCATTCGGAGTCTTGGTGACGTTTGCTTACGAAGTAGAAGGGGAGGAAGGTGAGTTACGATACAGTGCAAGGCTGGAGAGAGAGGGTGACATCATTACTTGTGTCCTGCCTTTCTTTTTAAGAGTTCAGGGCAGGAGACAAAGGGGCGTTTCAGCCTCTTTCCTCTTTGCAAAAAGTCCTGTGAAATAGGTGAGGCTGAGAGAAGGGGACTGTCCCATCTTTGCTATGACATAGGTTAATATTCTAATATTTTGTTCAGTGATCAGGAGTTGCATGTTATTAGTTTTCAAACTGCATTTCTGGGCACCACCATGTTCCTTGAAATGGCAATTCTTCAGTAATCAATCAGCGAAACTGTATCATTGGTGTTGTCGTCCATAAGGATTCCTTGGGAATTAAACGGCTGTTTCAAGAGAAGATGATACATAATGGCAGACAGGCTGTTTGCCATTAGGGATTGCTGTGCAGCCGTAGGGTAGGACTGGGCGTGCGCGAGGGATCACGTTTACTTTGGGACAACATGGACGTCTGAAAAGTCTGACCCAGTGGCTCACAGGAATTAAAAATGCACTCCAGAATCTTTTGCAATGCCTGGGAGTTCTATTCAGACACTCCATAGAAGAAAAATCAATACGGAAACTGATTCCTGAGTGTAGGAAGTTTGAATCTGCCTAAGGATGGGGTAATCTTGACCTGGTGGGCCCAGGCTAGCGCGCTCTGATCAGATTTTGGAAACTAAGCAGGGTTAGCCCTGGTGGATACTTGGATGGAAGACCCACCAAGGCGGTCCAGTGTTGCTGTGCAGAGGCAGGCAGTGGCCAACCCCCTCTGAATGTCTCTTACCTTGAAAACCCTCTGGGGTCACTCACCACCAGTGTTCCCTCTAAGCTGAGTTAGTGTGAGTTAGCTCATAGTTTTCTAGGCAGGAAGGATGGCTCCAGAGCAAACTAATGTATGCAGCAGCTAAATCGCTTGCTCACAACTTTAATGCCAGTAGTTCACAAAGTAGAATTTTTGCTCATAAGACTCCACAGCTTAGAGGGAACATTGCTCACCACCACAAGTTGGCTATGACTGGATGGCCCTTTCTGCCAACGAGAGCCACCCCTGGGCGCACTGTTAAGCACTGCCCCCCCTCCCCCCAGATAGCTTTGTCCCTTTTGAAACTAATCTTAGGTGCAGTCCAACCCTGCTGATACGTTTTCTAAGGTTTCCCTCTTGTTCTGTACTTCCTCTCTGACGTCTGCCTTCCTTGACTTGAGGGCAGGCGAGGAACTTCCTGTGGCCACGACCCGCCCAGAGACCATGTTGGGGGACGTGGCTGTCGCTGTTCACCCAGATGATCTCCGATACACGGTAAGGCCTCTTCATCCTGGTGTCCTTGATTATCAGCACACTGTTCAGCGGGAGGAAATGTGCCCTACAGTTGGGGAGTCCCGGGCTCCCAACAATCCCAGGCGTTGCTGCTCAAAAAGGAGATGTCAGCCTGAGACCCTGGAGGGTTGTTGTCAGTCAGAGCAGAACAGCACTAGGATAGTCTTAACCCTGTATATGGCAGCCTTAGAGGTCCCTGCTAAATAGGATAGCTGGGGATGTCATTCGCAACAGACTGCGGTAGTTCTGTTGGAGGGAGGGCCCCCTTCTTTATTTTCTTAGTATCTGACATCAATATGATCTGATTTGTTTTTTGCCAGCACCTGCATGGCAAGAGACTCCGCCACCCATTCACTGGACAGCTCCTTCCTATCATTACTGATCCCTCGGTGGAGCAGGACGTGGGCACAGGTGAGCACTGGTCTGTCCTGTCCTGCTGCTGCTGCGTGTGGGCAAAGGGGGTGCTGTATTGGCATTGGGTACTGGATGTTCTCAGGGGAGCGTCCCCTCACTCTTTTACATGCCGCCTTTCAGGAGCTGTGAAGATAACACCAGCACACAGCCGTATTGACTACGAACTGGGGCGGAGGCATGGCCTTCCTGTTGTTTCTGTCATCGCGGAGGATGGAACAATGACCGCTGAGTGTGGGAAATGGCTTCAGGTGAGGTGTTGTGGTGTTTCCAGATGGCTCTTTTTTATTTTTATGTTTGGGTATGGTCCCTGGCAGAATATTGCATGAAGAGGTGGTGTGGCCTATTCCATGTCCACGTAATAGAACATAGCAGCCCTTCAGGATCAGACCCATCTAGTCCAGTATTCTGTTTCTCATAATAACTGACCGGATGCTTTTGGGAAGCCCAAAAAGCCACGCTCCCTCTAAGCTGTGGGGTCTAGTGAGCAAAAATTCTACTTTGTGAGCTACTGGCATTAAAGCTGTGAGCAAGCCATTTGGCTACTGCATAAATTCGTTTGCTCTGGAGCCGTCCTTCCTGAGCTAAGACAAAAATGTGTGAGTTGGAGGCTAAAAAAACTGTGAGCTAGCTCACACTAACTCAGCTTAGAGGGAACACTGGTAGGCACATGCCGTTGCCTCCGAAAAACTGGTATTCGGTGATATAGTACTTTTAAACATGGAGGTTACATTTAGTATTATAGCTAATAGCCACAGAGAACTATCATCTTGACCCAAGGGGTCATCTTGCCTAATGTGGCAGATTTTGAAGCATGTCTAGAAAGCAGGAAGTTAAGACCATAAGACCATAAGAGAAGCCATGCTGGATCAGGCCTGTGGCCCATCCAGTCCAACACTCTGTGTCACACAGTGTCCAAAACCCAGGTGCCATCAGGAGGCCCACCAGTGGGGCCGGAACTCCAGAAGCCCTCCCACTCTTGCACCCCAAGCACCAAGAAGACAGAGCATCACTGCCCCAGACATAAGACCATAAGAGAAGCCATGCTGGATCAGGCCTGTGGCCCATCCAGTCCAACACTCTGTGTCACACAGTGGCCAAAACCCAGGTGCCATCAGGAGGCCCACCAGTGGGGCCAGAACTCCAGAAGCCCTCCCACTCTTGCACCCCAAGCACCAAGAAGACAGAGCATCACTGCCCCAGACATAAGACCATAAGAGAAGCCATGCTGGATCAGGCCAGTGGCCCATCCAGTCCAACACTCTGTGTCACACAGTGGCCAAAACCCAGGTGCCATCAGGAGGCCCACCACACGTTATTTACTTAAGTAGTATTATAGAGAGCCAGTTTGGTGTGGTTAAGTGCGCGGACTCTAATCTGGAAGAACCGGGTTTGATTCCCCACTCCTCCACTTGCACCTGGCTGGATGACCTTGGGCAAGCCATAATTCTGGCACAGCTGTTCTTGAAAAAAGAGCCATTTCTGTCAAGAGCTCTCTCAGCCCCACCTACCTCACAGGGTGTCTGTTGTGGGGAGGGGAAGGGAAAGGAGTTTGTAAGCCGCTCTGAGACTCCCTTGGGTAGTGAAGGGCAGGGTATAAATCCAATCTCTTCTCTTTTTGCTAACAAGGGAAGTACCATGGGGGTGAGAGGTCTCCTCCCTCAAGGAAATATCTCGGGCAGCCTCTGCTTTTTGTGTTACACTTTCTGGGTATTTCCACTCAAAAGGTGGTTAAAGCACCTTTCTCCCCCTTTCTCCCCCATTATTTGAACCCAGCTGTCTTCCGCCTCTGATTTTGATCTGTTTTATGCTCATGGGCCAGGCAGCCTTTGGCTTTAGATAGCTGGTTAATGCTTTTTCTGATACTCGTTTTAGTAGAAGTGTCTGTAGAGGCTTTTCCTGACAACCACGAAACTGGAAATCAACTCTCCCTGCCTTTTCTGGCTTTTTTTTGGCTTTGCCTGCTAAACTGCATCACATGTTTGGTAGGTGGTTTACCGGCAATCCTGTCTGTACGTATACCTCTCATCCTTAGGCATTTTGGCTGCGGTCACACACACTAAATCATCCACTTCCAGTCCACCTTCAGTGCACTTTCAAAGTGGATTTTGCCAGTTCACACAGTAAAAATCCAGTTGGAAAGTGCATTGAAAGTGGATTATTGTGTGTGACCGCAGCCTTGGATTCCCTGGGTGAATATAACCAGCCCACTGCCCGCAGCATGTTTTCTTTCCCTTCTACCTGCCACGACGGTCACTGTCTAAAGTTTCTAATCAGAAGGCAATCCTAGGAAATAGTGCTAGCTAGATTTTTCCCCATGAAAGTAAACTAATGATTTCTCATTAAAAATAGGAATTATTTTGATTGGTGAGTATGGTTTTCTGGAATTAGTTGCAGTTTTTAGGATCAGAACTCTGGGACATGCTCATTGTAAAAGTGATGTTCTTTTCAGGGGGAGAACAGGTTCCTGGCCAGAGAGAAGGTGCTGGCTGCTTTGAAAGAGAGAGGCCTGTATCGGGATGTGAAGGAGCATGCCATGGTGCTCCCTCTTTGCAGGTAAAGGAAGAGAAATATTAAAAACCCCTCATTATCCCACCTTTCCACTCCAGTTCAGAGTCAGTATATGTTGTCTAGAATATCTGTGGTGTTGATTTAAGATTATTAGGTGCCACAAAGGTTGAGCAAAAAGATTCAAAAAAATGAATTCAGCAAAATCAATTTATTATACAGTATACTTAAAAAAGGAGCTGTGGTGGCTCAAGTGGTTAAGACGTTGAACTGCAGGCTGCGGAAGGTTGGTAGTTCAGCAGTTCGAGACCCGAGTTGCCGCAGGACGGAGTGAGCTCCCGTCTCTAGTTCCAGCTCCTGCCAACCTAGCAGTTCGAAAGCAAGAAATTGCAAGTAGATAAATAGGTACCACTTCGGTGGGAAGGTAACAGCGTTCCGTGTGCCTTGGTGTTTAGTCATGCTGGCCACATGACCACGGAAACGTCTTCGGACAGCTCTTCGGCTTTGAAACGGAGATGAGCACTGCAACCCTAGAGTCGGACTCGACTGGCTTTCGAGCAAGGGAACCTTTACCTTTTTTTATACTTAAAATACAAATTTAAACACTTAGGCCTTGAATGTAGCCTTTAAATTGAAGCCACCAGACAGTAGTCCTCAATGTACAATATATAATGCAAATGAGTATTTCATAGTCCATAAAAAAAGCCACAGTAAATAAGTCCAAACACATTTTGGCTATACGGACTTTCTTCAGTGGGCACAAATACATACATACACAGATATACACACACACACACACACACACACACACACACACACACACACACACACTCTGAGAAAAAGTGTTGATAAAATTAGCCAGTCTAGGTAGTAAGTGGTTTGTGTACATTTTATTTTGTGTGGCCAAATGGTGACTTTATAAAGATCATAGAGCTTGTTCCATGATTTTTATGCTCACACATAAGAAAATGTAAGGTTGTAAATTATATCTAATCTTGACAGTTTGTTTCTTCATGGCGTGTATGTATACATCAACCAACAGTCTGACAAAAATAGATACAGTTTAAAATCTGAATATTAGATATAATTTACAGTCTGGCCACATGGAATAAAATGTGCACAAATCAATTAATGCCTGGCCTGGCTGATTTTATCAACACTTGTTCTTGGTGTGTGTTTGTGACCAACGAAGAAGAGGAAGAGATTGGATTTGGTGTTATTTACTGTGGCTTTCTTTGTGGACTGTCAACATTGAGATACTCGTTGAGTCTGGTGCACTGTGGTCTTGTCTGTAAATCATCAAATTTGAGATATTCATTTGTATTATATATTATACAAGTGTAGGCCCATGTTACTCGTGGGAAGAGGATTTCCTCATCCCCCCACACTTTCTCTCCAGGCCTGCACCCAGCACAACTCCAAGGCTTGTGCCTCTGTAGCCTGTGGACCTGGTGTGACTCCCAGGCTGTTCTGTCAGCGGCAACATGCCCGATACAGCTCCCGGTCTGTGCCAGTGGTGGCATGTGCAGCATCTCATGGACTGCACTGGTGGCAGCATGCCCAGCATGGCTCCTAGGTTGTGCAACTGCTGCTGGGCCCAGCATGGCTCCCTGGCACCACTGCTGCCAAAGGTAACTGCTTTTGGGGGGATTTAAACCCCCTGTGTTAGTTTGTTTTTAATTTTTAGATTTTTCTGGACACCAGGGGAGTGCCCCAAGTTTGCTGAAAAATCTGTTTAGCCTCCATGTGACCCCGATTTGTGGATTTAGCTAGCCATAGGCTGGGGCCACATGTGGCTAATAATATATAGATATTAAGAACTACTTAGTCTGGTGGCTTTCAGTTTAAAGGCTAAATTCAAGCCTGATGTTTTGTATTAAATTTATATTTTAAGTTCACTGTATAATAAATTTTGTTTTGTTTTTCTATTGATTTTGCGAAACCTTTGTGTTACTTAATTCAATTTCTGGTTTGGTATTCCCCCCCCCCCCCCCTTGGGTGGTTTGTTTTTGGGTACCTGAACTCAGATTTTTTTTTTTTAATGAAGAAGACTGCAAGTGTGTCCTGTTGTATACCTTTTCAGCTTTTGTATCAGTGCTACTGTCTGCTTGCTTCTACTGTGCCTGGCTGGCACACCTGATAAGAGACCCCCAATCTAGGCCTCTCCCATTCTACACTCGCCTGCTTCTGATTTACCTTTCTGTTGTGTGAGCAAACCAGAGGCAGGAGTGTGTGGAAAGTGACATCTTGTCTGATTTCCCCCCTACTCGCAGCCGCTCTGGGGATGTGGTTGAAAACCTCCTGAAGAGCCAGTGGTTTGTCCGATGTGAAGCCATGGCTCATAGAGCATTGGAGGTAAGTCCCATAACTCTAACTCTCTGATCTGAGCAGGTCTCTGATCTGCTAGAGTGATGAATGCTGAATGAATGTATTGTTGATTGTGATTACCAGGGAGTTGGATTGTAAGGAAGTAGTTAGGTCTTCTGGTAGGATCAGTTAAGTTAGATTAGATTAGTAGTTGTTTAATGGCATTCAGTTCTGTTAGTAGCAGGGAAATTAGATAGATTTTCTGTAGCACCAGGATTGGACTCTGTGGCTCTCACCCAGCTCGCCCCGCCAGGTTTCTCGGTCCTTCACCAATCGCGGACTGGGGGGCGGGGGGGGGAGTGGCTATTTTCATTCGGGAGGCTTACTCCTGCAGGGCGCTCCCATCTGTGGAGATCGTGGGCGTTGAGTGTGTCGGCACGATGCTGGAGGCTGAGGAGAGTTTGGCGATTTGGCTGGTATACTGACCACCTAATGCATCAGCCAATAGCCTGCCGTCCCTGCTGGAGGCCATATCAGGCTGGGCGTTGGAGCACCCAAGGCTGATTGTCCTGGGTGATTTCAACGTCCATGGTGAGGACGCGATCTCCAGCCGGGCTACGAACCTAGTGTCGTCCATGGTGGCACTGGGACTATCTCAACTTGTATCGGCCCCCACGCATCGGGGTGATGGTGGACTGGATCACTGCTGTGGCAGTGCCATGGTCGGACCACCAGGCCCTGAAGGCCCGTCTGAAGGTGCCACCCCGACCCTGTGTAGGTGGCGAGCGGATTTTTGCTCTCCCACGGAGCCTAATGGCCCCTATGTGGTTCCAGATGGCCCTGCGGGATCTGAGGCCCCCTGGCGGCTCGTTGGATGAGCTTGTGGAGGACTGGCGTGGCTGGCTCTCCACAGCCATTGACGAGATCGCTCCAAGGCGCCCTCTCTGCACTCGTTCTAGGTGAGCGCCCTGGTATACCCAGGAGTTGCGGCAGCTGAAGCAAGAACAGATGGTGGCGCCGTGCTTGCGATGAGGCGTCAAGAGCATCTTATAGGACGTTTATGAGATCCTATGAGATGGCAGTCAAGGCCGCTAAGAAAGATTTCTATGCGACCGAGATTGCATCTGCGGGCTCACGCCCGGCCCAACTGTTTAGTACGATTCGATCTTTGACAGTGCTGCCACAGGGCAGGCAAAACGCTAGGGAATTGGATAATGGCTGTGATGCTTTTGCGAGCTATTTCGCAGATAAAGCCCTGGCGCTCCGTCGCGACCCCCCGCCACAATTGAAACAGTGAGCGAACTCGAGGCCCCTTGCGCGTCTTCAGTTCCAGGTTTAGAATGTTTCAGCCTACTCAGCCTGGACGAATTTGACAGATTGCTCATATCTGTACGTCCAACCACGTGCAACCTTGATCCGTGTCCCTCCTGGCTCATTAAGGCGGGCCACGAGGGGTTTCGAGGTGCCCTGCGGAAGATTATCAACAAGTCCCTTTTGGAGGGACAGTTCCCCGGGGCACTCAAGGAAGCAATGGTCCGTCCCCTCTTGAAAAAGCCATCTTTGGACCCAGCCGAATTGGCCAACTACTGGCCGGTGTCCAATCTGCCCTATTTGGGCAAACTCATTGAGAGGGCGGTGGCAATACAGCTACAGGGCTTCCTGGAGGATGCTTCAGTCCTAGATCCTTTCCAGTCCGGCTTTTGCCCAGGTCATGGGATGGAGACTGTGTTGGTCGCCCTGACTGGCGACCTCCGAAGGCATCTGGATTGAGGCGGTGTGGCGGCACTGTTGTTGCTCGATCTGTCGGCCGCATTTGATACGGTCGACCACCAGTTGCTGACCCACCACCTCGCCGTTGTGGGAATTCAGGGGCTTGCCCTTCAATGGCTTGCCTCTTTTCTTCAAGGTCGGGGACAAAGGGTGGTGATTGGGGATCAGCGGTCCCGGAGGCACCCTCTTAATTGTGGGGTGCCTCAGGGGGCAGGGCTGTCCCCGATGTTGTTCAACATCTACATGCGCCCCCTTGCCCAGATTGCCTGGAGGTATGGGCTTGGGTGTCATCAATATGCGGATGACACCCAGCTCTATCTGATGCTGGTTGGCTGGTCGGACTCCGACCCAGATGACCTTCATCGGGCGTTGCAAGCTGTGGCTGGATGGCTCAGACTGAGTCGGCTGAAACTAAACCCGGCGAAGACGGAGGTCCTGGGTCTAGGTCGGGTCGGTTCGGGGTTGGGACTCCTTCTCCCGACCTTTGATGGGGCGCCTCTGGTGCCAGCATCGAGGGTTAGGAATTTGGGTGTGCTCCTGAACTCCTCTTTAACGATGGAGGTCCAGGTAGCAGCCACTGCCAAGTCGGCCTTTTATTATCTTCGGCTGGCTCGGCAGTTGGTCCCCGTTTTTGACCGCGATGACCTGGCCACAGTGATCCATGCGACGGTCACCTCGAGGCTGGACTACTGTAACGCTCTCTACTTGGGGCTGCCTTTGTTGCAAGTCCGGAAGCTGCAGCTAGTGCAGAATGTGGCAGCCAGGCTGCTGATGGGTCTCTCTAGGCGAGACCATATCCAGCCTGTGCTGAAGGCGCTGCACTGGCTGCCAGTAGCGTACCAGATTCGCTTCAAAGTGCTGGTTCTTACCTTTAAAACCCTGTATGGCCAGGGTCCGGCATACCTGAGGGACCACCTTTCCCCATATGTTCCCCCAAGGGCACTACGGTCGGGGGCCCAACATCTTTTGGTTACTCCAGGCCCCAGGGACGTCAAACTCGCTGTGACCAGGGCCAGGGCCTTTTCGGTGGCGGCTCCTACCTGGTAGAATGACCTCCCGGAGGACATCCGGGCCCTGCGGGACCTTGTGCAGTTCCGCAGGGCCTGCAAGACAGAGCTCTTCCGCCAGGCTTTCGAGTAGGAGCCGCCGCCACCACTGTACCACCACTGCACCGCTACCGCAAAGAGCGGGGATGCCATCGGGGTGCATGATGGCCCTGGGCCGAAGATCGGAAAGCAGCATCATCCTGGAACCTGCTTCGTTGTTCTGGGTCCCTCTTCCAGAACCCATCTTGGAACTATGAACTTTCAGAGCACCAGCCCTTTATTGTAATTTTGTATTGTTTTATCCTGCTTTTAACTGTTTTATCATGGCTTTGTGCCCTTATTGTTAGCTGCCCTGAGCCCGTTGGGGAGGGCAGGATATAAATTTGAATAATAAATAAATAAAATAAACTTAGGCAGATTCACTCACTGGGCCCCATTTCCCTCCATTCCCACGGAATCCCAAAGCCTTGGGTCTAAGAGTGGCAGTAGAGATGAAAGCCTGCGTGCATGCGTTAGGTTTCAGAAACCTTTTGTTATCAGACTTGAGGAGCAGACATGCTGGAAGTGTGAAACTGTTAGATGAGATCTGTTAACATTTGGATATTAGATTTTGCCACCTCATTCAAGATCTAGGTTGAATTAACCTCGTTCATCCTTGTATTTTTTTTTTTTTTAAAGGCTGTGGAATCCAGACATTTGAAACTCATTCCTGAATTTCATGAGAAGAATTGGAGGACTTGGCTTTCAAAAATCAGGTGAGAAGAGGGCAGTCCTAGTTTCCAAATTTAAGTGTCATGAATCGCCACTCAGGACTCTTTGCTGACAGGGTTACCTGTGGGGTGAGGAGTCCTGTCCCTGTAACAGAGGCTGGATGACATGTAATTTACCAGATAATTTTATTTGCCTCAGTGCCATGAAAAGCTTTAGCTGCTCATTTCCACACATTAAGCCTCTGTTAAAGGGGTGGGACAAGATTCAGTGTTGTAGTCTCCATTGTTAAAGTTCTGAAGATGGTTTTATGTATTTATTAGTGCGTTTGTTGTCTGTCCTTCTTTTAAGATGGCATTACCCATTTTTTCCTCACAACAAAGTAGCTGAGGCAAAAAATGACTTGGCTAAGGCCAGCCAATGTGCTGCATGCCTGAACAGGGACTTGAATTCAAGTATCTTTCTAGTAAAAGTTCAACACTGTGTTCAGTACATCACACTGATATTCTAAGCAGTGGCTCACAAACTCTTTGTTGTGATAGTTAATGGAGTCTGTGCCTTGGTAGTGGAACTAAAGGACCTGAGGTTGAGGTCATTTCCTCTAACAAGAGTGGAGTCTCTTTGGGATATTTCACATAATCTGGATCATGGGCTTGGATTCCATGATACATTTTTGCTAACAGAAGAGGGCCATGATTTTTTTGAGTCTCCCCCACCACCACAGACCTCATGTTGCTCTGGGGGGGATGTGACCTAAACCCCAGGAGCATGATTTTGAGCTTGTGGGGGGGGGGGATTCCTATTCTGCAACCAGGAACTCCTTCTGTCAGTGTATATTTGCTGTGGAATCCTAGCTATTAGAAGATATTGGCTTTATACCTCACCCTTCACTTGAAGTCTCAGAGCGGCTTACAATCGCCTTCCCTTTTTCTCCCTGCAACAGAAACCCTGTGAGGTAGGTGGGGCTGAGAGAGCTCTTTGAGAACTGCTCTTGAGAGAACAGCTCTGAGAGAACTGTGGCTTACCCAAGGTCACCCAGCAGCTGCATGGGGAGGAGTGGGGGGAATCAAACCCAGTTCTCTCAGATTAGAGTCCGCGCTCCTAACCCCTACACCAAACTGGCTCCCAGGCCCCTCCTTGGTTTTTGAACTATCCCTAAGTATTGCTCATATTATTTCCAAGCTATTCTGTGTGTGACTTTAAGCATGTTTCTGGATGCTGTCTGAAATGTATAATGTACCAAAACCTGTCCTGAAGTACTGCAAAAGAATACCGACAATAGAAGGTGTGTGCTGCATCTCTTTTGGCATTATTTGGCTGCCCAGGAGCTGGATTCGAAGACAGTGGTGGAAGCATCTGGCGGGCCACTGTGAAAAACAGGAAACTGGACTAGATGGATGCTCAGCCTCACCCGTGGCTACTCCTGAGTTCTTAAGATCCTAATGATATTTCAACTGATTGCTTTTCTCAGTGACTGGTGTATCTCCCGCCAGCTGTGGTGGGGCCATCAAATTCCAGCCTATCGAGTCACCATTCCACAGTCACTTGATACAGGGAAGGTGAGTGTAAGCCTACGGTTGGCTGGGAGGGGAACTCCCGGTTCCTCCCATCATATGACTTAAGCTTCTTTTTGCCTTTATCATAACAGGAGGGGAGTGATGAATTATGGGTAGTGGGCAGGACAAAAGCAGAAGCTCGGGAAAAAGCAGCAGACATGTTGGGAGAACCAGAAGAGGACCTGAAGCTTGTGAGAGGTAAAGACAGTGACCCAGGCACTCATGACTCTGGAGGGGAAGACGGTGATGTGTTTTGGTTGAGAGCCCGAGTTTTGAACAATCATAATGCCTTATGTCATGAAGCCTAGCCACAAAGGCTTTCCCTGTCACATTCCTACAGTCGCTTTCCATTCCACTTTGCTTGAGATGATGATTATACAAAGCACAATGCCACCAGTATCAAAAAAGGCTCATAAAATACATAGTTTGTTGGCAGCATGTGGAGAAACAAAAAAACTGTGTACTGCACAAACCCGCACCAAAGTTAACAAAAAGAGACTTGTAATCCATCATAGGAAAATACAAAAGTCCACAATATCCCAAAGGGAAAGAACACAGTCCAGTATAGAAATTTCTCAAAGGGAAACAATGAAGTCTGGAATAGATGTCAACACTTTTCCTAGGTATTGTTCAGTGTTTCGGACTTCTGGTCCTTCCTCAGGAACAAAAAGCCACTACAGGAAGTCTCATTGCAATTTTTTAACAGGCAAACTTTATTCAGTTTCTATATGGGCCGGGTCTCCTAAGCTTTAGAAAGCACCTTACCAAGGTTGCTATTATGTAAGTTGGACCAAACATGCCTCCCATGGGATATTGTGGACTTTTGTATTTTCCTATGATGGGGCGGGTTTGTGCAGTACACAGTTGTTGTTTGCTGTTTTTTGGCCATTGTTTACTGTGGACTATTGTTGTTGTTGTTGAGAAACAAAAAAAGGCACTTACACACATCAACAAAGGCTCTAGGAGATGACGATTATATTGTCAGGTAAAATATTCTGCCCATTGCTAGATGGAGGCTTTGGCAAATAGCACCTGAAGGCCCAAGCGATCATTCGCATTACCCCCACCCATACTGCTCCGGTGCATCCATCCCCTAGCTGTTCTGGTCCTCTTTCCGTAGCCAAAAAGACCACAGTGAACCTCTCCTGGCTTCCTTTGGATGGCTTTAAAGCTGTGAGAGGCAGCTGGGGAATTTGGCACCCAAGTAACAGTAACCGTTCTGGTGTTCCCTCTGCCAACAGCAGCAGCAGTAGCAGTTCTGTGGGCATCCTTTAAAGTAGGTCAGCTGACCCAAAGCCTTAAAAGAGCAGCTAAAGAGATCTAATTACCTGAAAGAAAAATTGGGGTGTCCCCCCCCCCATGTATGCCATCAAGAAGAAAAGGGGGCTGTCTTAAATTCACATACAAATTACCACTATGCACACATAAACTTTTGTGAATAATCATTTATTAGCAAGGCTGTCTCATGTTCAAGGTCCGCCTTTCCCTGTGTATACCCCAGAGAGCACTACTGTCTGGGTCTCAGAATCGGCTGACCCTCCCTGGTCTGAGGGAGGCCAGGCTAGCTGCTACTAGGGCTGGGGCCTTTTTGGTGGCGGCCCCTACCTGGTGGAATGAGCTCCTGGAGGAGATCAGGGCCCTGCGGGACCTTGTGCAGTTCCACAGGACCTGCAAGACGGAGCTTTTCCGCCAGGCATACAATTAGGGGCTGCCGCCGCCCTAGTGCACGGCCCGTAATGTTACCATCGAGCAGCTGCCTCAAGAACGAGCAGAGTAACATCTAAACACTTTACATGGAATAACATCGAAGCACTTTGTTTGAAAGCACTTTATTCATTTGATGTTTAACTGCCGCCAGTACTCTGGTATTTTGTAATGTACTATTTAAATGCTGTGTTTTAATTCTGTATTATTTATGTTATTATTCTGTATTGTTGTGTTGTTGTTGGAAGCCGCCCTGAGCCTGCTTTGCGGGGAGGGCGGGGTATAAATTTGACTATAAATAAATAAATACATCTTCCTGTCCTCGTGCTCTGCTGTGTCTGGATCTGGAGCAGTTCCTGCGGCCCTGATGAAACGGCTCTCCCTTAGTTCTGGAGGGAGCTTTTGCCAGTCTTTAGCATGTCGTCTTCTTTTTGTAAGATAAATAAATAAAAGGATTTGCGTTTTTCCTTCTCCCTCCTTAGATGAGGATGTCTTGGACACGTGGTTCTCATCTGCTCTCTTCCCTTTCGCCTCACTGGGATGGCCTCGTCAGGTGAGGAGCATCACACGGAATGGGTTTGTTGGCTAGATGTAGAAAATCTTAAAGTGAATCAGAATACTAAATGGATCGTGCCACCTTGCTACGTTTGGGAGGCCAGAAGAGGTGGTGGAAGGAAAGCCCTGTCTAGTTACAGAAAATACATGGAGTGCCTTTTATTGGAACAACCAGAGTAGCACAACACATGGACCGCTATGGCTGTACAGTGTTTTCTACTTCAGAGGAAGTAAGGTGTGAGATGGGGGAGGAAATACTGCTAGGCAGAGGTCATTTCGGGGGGGAACGCGGGGGAACGCAGTTCCCCCGGGTGAGGTACGGGGGGCGGGGCACATGACGAAGCCCCGCCCCCTGCTTGCGGCTGCCCCGCTTCCGACCCTCATTCAGCCAGGAGGAGGCAGGAGAAGAAGGAGGGTAAGTTGCTTCCTCCCTGCCTCTTCCCACCCCTGCCTGCCTGGGGCCAGGGAGGGCCTTCGCGGGGCTTCCTTGCACTCCCGCCGACCTTGCAGGTCCACTGCCGGGCCCCTCAAGGGGCTTGGCAGTGGAGCTGCAAGGCCGGTGGTGGCAGCCGGGACCATTGGGGGCGGGGTGTGTGGCCTTATGACACACTTCCGGTGATGTCAGGGGGTGTGGCATATGCTAATGAGTTATGCTAATGGGTTCCCCTAGCTCTTTTTCTACGAAACGACCCCTGCTGCTAGGACTGTGATTGTAGCTGTTCTTCCTGCAGCTACCTCCACGGAAGAAAGTTGTAGGATGTTCCAAATAGCTCGGGAGAGTGCATTTATTTTCTGCCAGTTGAGAGCACAGGAACATCAACGGGACAGTTTTACCTGGAAGGCATTGTAGGATTTAAGGAAACCTATGTGAGAAGTAATAATCTCCATGCTGCAGAGAGGCATGCAAAACACTCTGCAATCTTTATTCTGTTCACCCTCCCAATAACTCTGGGAGCCAGGTTAATAATCTTCATGTTTAAAGATGGAGAGATTTGAGACTAACTGGAGTCCTTTGGACAAAAACCTCACAGAGAGAGGCTTGAAACCAGATCCTCCCTGGTCCAAATCAAAAATATTGATTTTTCCAGAACCTAGTGATATCTTCATCGTGGGGCTGATCCCAGGGGCAGAAGGGAAGAGGGCAAAGAGGAAGGTGGAAAGACTGTATTGTTGAATGCCTGAAATAATAACCTCTGGGGCAATCTAATAAATAAATAAATTTGTGTCTGTTCCGCACAGACTGGAGACCTCCAGCAGTTCTACCCCAACAGCCTCTCGGAGACAGGAAGCGACCTTCTGTTCTTCTGGGTGGCCCGAATGGTGATGCTGGGAGAACAGCTAACTGGGAAACTACCTTTCTCTCAGGTATGTGTGGGCTGGGCCACTAAAAATGACATGCTTCCACCATTTGAGGGGCACTGTGGACATACAAGCGTAACATACTTTCTAACCTGTGCCACCACTTAATTTTAGCTATACTGAACCCATCCCCAAAGCAGATAATTATATTTTGTCCCTCACAATTCACCTCTTATTTGTTTATGAACTAGTCCTTGCTATTTTACTCAGTTCTGTTTGTATTCTATGTGTTCGCCTTTCCTGTCCCCCTGAATCATAAATATAGTCCTAGATGAGGAGATTCTTTTAATTCTTGTGATTTATGGCACGTAATTCCTCCTGGGTAGTTATGCTGTACTTATTTAAATTGACACCCAAGTTTTCCACCACGTAGGCCCTCCAAAGCACCCTAGTGGTTAAAGCCCCTTTAAAACTGTTTCTCAGTCCATTTCTTCGGCCTCAGGTAGAATGACTCTCTGTTAAGTGGGCACGTTCTTTTGGCTTCTCTAGGAGATTCCCAATACATACAGGGTTCCTCCTCTTAACACAGGCTGAGGGATTTGTTTAATGCATTTTAAAAAAAGTTATTCTAACTGTACGCCAAAGTAGCTTACAACCCAATCCTGTGCACGTTAACTCAGAAAAATGTCCCACTGTTAACTTTGATAGCAGTGAGGTGTGATTACAGATCAGGATTAAGGTTACTGGCAGATCCATGTTTGCTTCTGTCTGTCTATCTCTCTTCCTCAGGTTTTCCTTCACCCGATGGTTCGTGATGCTCATGGGAGGAAGATGAGTAAATCTCTAGGGAATGTGATTGACCCCTTGGATGTTATTCATGGGGCCTCTTTGCAGGTACTTCTGTTTCAGAAGACGGGGCTTTCCATTTTCCCCTCAAGGCACTTGACACCCACCCTACAGCATGCAAAGAAAGATCCCTGTGCTTAGAAATCCATGGTTTTTATAACAGTAGAGCTGACCTCTCCATTCCTCCCCCAACACCCTTGCCACAGTCATATGGGCATAGACTTTGAGTTGATTTTATACAGACAGAATCATCATCACATGGTACATTCTTTCTTGATCTTAAACACTTCAGATCGCAAGTGGGAGAGAGGATCTCATGTCTGAGTTCTCCCATTGAAAGAAAAAAGTTTGCTCATATAAGGAAAGAGGCTGGAGCTAGCCTTCCCTCTTGGCATGGTAATTTTCTGTGTACACGGATCAATGCTCCCTCTAAGCTGTGGCATCTTGTGAGCAAAAAATCTACTTTGTGAGCTACTGGCATTAAAGTGGTGACTGAGTGATTTGGCTGCTGCATAAATTAGTTTGCTCTGGAGCCATCCTTCCTGAAGCTAAGACAAAAATGTGTGAGCCGGAGGCTAAAAAACTGTGAGCTAGCTCACACTCACTCAGCTTACAGGGAACACTGACAAGGATGGTTTCCCCCCATGGGGGACCTTTCAGATAACATGATTTTTTCCCATGCAGATACAAAATTTGGAATGGTACAGTCTAGAAAGAACAGACAAGTGGCATGACTGTGCTGTGTGTATAGATCAGCTCATATTCATATGTTGTGTATTTCCAGTCTTTAAATCAGTAGACTGTATTCAGTTGCCCACTTTGGATTTTAGGCATCTTTTTTCTAAGATGTTGCCACAACCATAAGGGCTAGAAACCTGATTTTAAAAACACTCCAGAGCAGGGATTCTCACTGGCAAATTCAGAACCGATTCTGCATGTGCCCTGTACCCCTGGCTTAGTGAGAATGGAAAGGAAACTTGCTTATCTGGTCAGTGGGGAGAAGACCTTGAAGTCTAGTGTCCACTCCCCTCCCTTTCAGGCTCTTTCACTTACTAAATCTGCCTTCCCTTTCCAGGACCTTCAAGAGAAGCTGCAAAAGAGCAACTTGGACCCAAGGGAGGTGGCCATTGCTATGGAAGGCCAGGTGTGTTCTCTCCCCTTTGAAAACAGTTTCTGTTTATTCCTGTGCCTTCCACAACTGTTCTAACATCTTCCTTTCTCTACCCCTTTGCAGCAGCAAGATTTTCCTGGAGGGATCCCTGAGCTTGGCACTGATGCTCTAAGGTTTGCCCTCTGCTCTTATTCCACACAAGGTGAGAAGTAAATAGCATCTGGGCTCTTTTAGGTGGCAGGGGCTGTGGCTCAGTGGCAGAGCATCTGCTTGGCATGCAGAAGGTCCCAGGTTCAATCCCCGGCATCTCCAGTTGAAAGGCTCAGGTAGGAGGTGATGTGAAGGGCTTCTGCCTGGGACCCTGGAGAGCTGTTGCTGGTCTGAGTAGACAGTCCTGACTTTGATGGTCCAAGGGTCATGTGTTCCTCCATTCCCAAGGGAGCACTGGCAGTAGCACAGCTTCTGTGTATTTATTGTATTTGTTTAGTACATTTCTATCCCAAGGTAATTAGGTCAGCGAAAAAGGTCTTTGTTTTATCACCACAGCAATCCTGTGAGGTAGATTAAGGCTGAGCTTAAGTGATTGGCCCAAGCTTCATTGCACTGGGAGAGATTTGAACCCGGGTTATGAAGCTTGCTGGGAAGGAGGCTAAGTGCACGTTGCCCTTTTTCATTGTCCCCTACCTCGAAAAGGCAGTCATGAGCATTCCGATGGGATGCCGTGGTTAACGTATTTATTTGTTCGCTTACTTTATGTATACCCTGCCTTTCTCTCCAACGGGGCCCCAGCGTGCCTTCCATCATTCTCCTCTTCTCCATTTTAGCCTCACAACAACCGTCTCAGGTAGGCTAGGTTGAAAGTTATCTGACTGGCCCAAGGTCACCCAGCAAGCTTCTGTGGCAGAGTGGGGATTCAAGCCTAGATCTGCCAGACTCCAACCACTACACCACACTGACTCTAGAACCAAGCAGACCAGAATTCACATCCTCACTGTGCTGTGTAGCTTCTTGGGTGACAACAGACCTCTCTACCAACATGGTTGTTAGAGTAAAAGAGGGAAGGGGAGAGTCATGCATGCCATACTGAACCCTTTGGAAGGGGAGTGGGATAAAAATATAAATAATTTTAAGTAGAAACAAGGAAACTATCCAGCGATGGTCAACAGGGGCTTTTGTCCAAGGCTTCTTGTTTCCAGTTTAGTCTTATGACAGGGTTGGGGGTGATTTGCAAAACAAGACTTGAACATATCCCCACCCCCAGGTGATGGCATTAACTTGGATGTGGCTGCAGTGGAGAATGCCAGTCGTTTCTGCAACAAGGTCTTGAATGCCATGAAATTCACGTTGGCAGCCCTGGGAGAAGGGTTCACCCCACTGACGCCAGAGGAGGTAACTGACTCTCTCTCTCTCTCTCTCTCTCTCTCTGTGTGTACATACAGGAGGCTTAAGGACTGCACTGTCTTCCTACCAAGTGACAGAGATACTGCAAGACAGAGGTGTCCTGACAAAAAAGGCTGTACTTAATCTTAAATGGAAGCACTCGTTGCTGTTAGTCTGAAGTTTAGAAAACTTACCAGCATGATCTTTATGTGTTTCCTATCACTCCAATTCCTCACACTTCTCCATGTTAATTTGTGTGTTCTATTTTTTTAAATAATATTTTTATTGAATTTTTAGGAATAATGGACACACACCACATAAACACAAAAACAAATATAAACGTACACTTCCAATATTTTCTGTATACGGCGATACAACTGGTTCTTAGCAATATTACAACTGAGCTTGCATATTCATAAGAACCATCTTTTAAGATTTAACTTGATATACCCCAATTAACCTTTACAATTCAAAACAGACATTTTTCTTTCTAGATAAAGTTTTCACAACTTCTCAAATAATCATTAACCACTATTTATCCCCTTTCGTTACTCTGCAAGTTTCTTATCCATATATTTCCAACTTCCTTTGTCAATATCTTATTGTAACTATGATTGTATTCTTATTTTTTCCAAATAGACTTACATCAACCAGAAATAAACGTTTCCAATCCCTTCCACCTCCTATTAATCAATATTATCCTTCAGGACCATAATTTCAAATTATTTTCTATCTATACATCAAAATATCAATCTTTTTTATCCAAACTATTTCAGTTATTACTCAACCCTGTTTTTTCCCCCTTTTCCAGCAATTTATAAAATACATGCCTCAGAGATTTTCCCTTGTATAAAGTCAAATTAAAGGGTAAAAACATCATAGTGAACAAATAACCTAACAATTACTTCATACATCTATATTACAACAAAACAAAAAAACCATAATTTCATTTTTCCAAATAGGCATAAATCAACAAAAATAACATTTAACTCTTCATCAAAGTTAATTTCCCCCCCTTCTCTATAAATCTATATCTAGCTTTCCTTCTCTATAACGCAATATCTAACTTTTCACAATTTTCAATGTCCTAATACCATATCTTCAATGTCACATCATAACAGAAACCCAGAGTTCATAATTTCAATTAAGCATAAATCAGCAAAAATAATCTTTCATCCTTCAAATAACTTGATTTTCCCCCTGAAGATTTGTAGCTTGCATTTTTGTATCAAGGAGTCCCGATGTCTTCTTTCTTTATATGTGTGTGAGTTAACTTCTAGACTCCCCCCTCTGTGTTTCAGCCATGCTATATCCAGTATTCTATTTTCCATCTTAAACTTCCAGACTCGTCGTTTTAGCTTCTTTTTTATCCCCTTTATCCCTTCTTTACAAGAGGTTCTCTGCATATTCATTTTGATTAGGTCTGTCTTTATATAGGATGATCTCATTGTCTCTTTTTCCACTCCTATAGTGGAGAGGGACGGAGTATCATCAACTCCTTAGAATAGCAAACTTGTTCCTCCCCAACACTCTGTTTGGACTGTATCTGTTCTTCCTTAATTTCGATATCCGGTTGTGTACTCTGCCGTTTTTCAGTTATATTCGCACAAGCCTCTTCAAACCCTTTTTGTATTCCCTTCTGTTTTCCTTCTCTAAGTAGTTTCAAAAGCTGCTCAACGGTTAATTCTCCCACAAGTATGTTATCATCCAACACATCCTCCTCATTTCCCTCTGCAAGCGCCGTTTTTGTTACACAGTTAATTTCAGCTCAAGTGATGCAGCTTTTAATTTGAAGCTTTTAAACACCATCTAAAGCTTTTAATCTCCATTTAGGGTATCTGGCTTCGTTGTCAGTCCTTATCAACAATGTTTTTTGACTCCGTAAACAAAGAAGAAAAAACGTCAATCTTTCCCTCATTCCTTGTCTGGCCGCTAATCACCTCTATCTTGGGCACACCGACTCGGGGTAGCTTTATCCAAAATCTGAGGTCTTGGCTATAGATAGAATTAGAAACATGCGTACTCACAGAGTCCCAGTATTGCCGTATACATTAAGAATCCAAAAAACCAGAAAGTTAAAACGGAGGTCGCTGTTAGGCAAGGCATGGCGACCATGCCTTGCTCCGTCCGTCGCTCTAGCTTCAGGGCAGTAACCACCACACCCCCGCATTTGCCGTATGTGGGGGGGGGGAAACAAGCCCCCTGTAACTCCTTCCCCCTCCAGGGGAACGAGCGGGGCCCCCCCAAATTCGGGGGGGGGGCTCCAAGTGAGCAGTGGAGGAGTGGGCGGCTCCAGAGTGATTTGAAAAGCTGCTCCACGTCACAGCACCATTACCGGAAGTCGTTAATATGTATATTCTAATGAGGAACAGTTCAGTCTCCTTCTTCTGGATAGGCAAAGAAGTTTAAACTATAGGGACGTTTTGGTGGTTGTAAGAGCATCCATGGAGCACACTGATACCAGGGCAGTTACAAAAGCATGGTCAAGTCGCAACTGACCTGTGGAGACTCCAGCAAGGGGTTTTCAAGGCAGACGAGAAGCAGAAGTGGTTCGCCATTGCCTTCCTCTGCAGCGCCTTCCCTTGGTAGTCTCCCATCCAAGTACTGACCCTGTTTAGCATCTGAGATTTGCCAAGATCGGGCTACACCCTGCCGCCTTCTCACCCACCCAGGGCATTTAGGCAATCTTTTTCCTTGGAGATTTTCAGTGTCATCTCAGAATATAGATTCAGGTGGGGTAGCTGTGTTGATCTGAAGCAGCAGAACGCAGGGACACCTTTAAGACCAACGAAGTTTTATTCAAGGTATGAGCTTTTGCGTGCAAGCACGCTTCCTCAGATACAGTGGATGCGTGGAAGTGTGCTTGCGTGCAAAAGCTTATACCGTGAATAAAACTTTGTTGGTCTTAAAGGTGCCACTGGACTTGAACTTTGTATCTCAGACTATAGAAAGCCCTGTATAGCCTCAGTATCTATCTTAGGTTTTACTTTGCACTGTCCTTTAAATGCACACCCTAGAAAGCAAGTGTCAGACACAAGTACTGAAAAATGTGTTGGAATATTGTGTTTTGTTAACATGTACAACACTACTGTAAACTAAAAATGTAGTGCTCAGAACAAAAGAGAGCTGAAGAGTTTTAAGTAGTAATTTACTGGTTCTTTGCCAGCACGGATTCTGCCTTGTGCCTTTTGCTGGGCATGATTCCTATTCCAGGACTGGGGGGGAGGGGTTTTTGGGATGGGTTTAGGAAGAGGAAAATCAAACAGTTTTTTTAAAGTCAAAGCTCTGGTCATTGTGTTTTGTTGCATTGATTGTTGTATTATATTGTTTTCTGTTGCATTTTTTAAAAAAGTTTCTAATCTGCCTTGAGGCTTGCTGAGATTCAAGGAAAATTACACATTTTTTTTTTAAAAAAAAACTATGTACAAAGTAGATAAATGATGCCTGTACTTTACCACCTCCTCCAGTTCTTCCCCAGTTCTCCCATGGACCGGTGGATCCTTAGCCGCCTCTATCACACAGCGCAAGAATGCACCCAGCGGTTTGAAAAATTTGAGCTGCATTTCGTCACCACCGCCGTCCATATTTTCTGGCTGCATGATTTCTGCAGTGTCTACATGGTGAGCTTCCTACTACTTGCTGCTATGGATTCAGAATCCCAGCAGCCTCTGCTCTCAGCTCGCAGAAAATAAAGTCCCTCTCCTGGGCCCTTGGGAACACGTGACAGCTTTTTTCTGGGGGGTGGGGGGTGGCTGGAGGGGCAAGGCCTACTTTCATAGGGCTGTTGTGAGAATAAAATGGAGGAAAACGAGTCATCCTGAGCGCCTTGGAAGAAGGGTGGGATAAAAATGTGATAAGACTGCTCTGTCACATGACGTACACATTGATTTTGCTGTATGTGCATAATGAAAACTAGGAATTTGAGGGTATTTGTGAGACTTCTCCATAGGAAAGATTGCGGTAAGTATGGCGTGTTTTTGGTAAGGTTATGCGGACTTACAGATTTGGGGAATGGTAATAATTACTCTTTCCTCCTGAACAGGAGTCCATTAAACCCATATTATCCAGTAGGGATCCGGCTCGTCTCCTCTCGACCCGCCAGACCTTGTACAGCTGCACGGACTTGGCCCTGCGCCTCCTGTCTCCATTCATGCCCTACCTGACAGAGGAGTTGTGGCAGCGGCTTCCCAAGGTGGACACAGCATCCCCTCCCAGCATCTGTGTGGCAAGATACCCCAACACCGAGTATCTGGTGAGTCCTTTGGAATTGGTTTTCAGGTCTTCAGAACAATTCAAGACTCAGTTAGGTCCTTCACAGGCCAGCCCTTTTCAAGCTGGCCGTGTATATCTTTGCTTCTTGGAGAAGACACAGCCAATGGTACATTTCCTGTCCTGGTCATACTTCAATAAGGTCTAGGTTTTTTGTGTGTGTGTGTGTGTGAGGGGTTGTGTGTGTGCACCCGGAAGTCACGTTGACTTCTGGTGACTGACCCCTACTGGGGGCCTGGAGGATATTCCGAGAGGTGGCTGAATAAGCCTGCCTCTGTCCTCCCGACTTGGTATTCCAGGGAAGTCTCCCATCCAAGTACTAACCACAGTCGGACCCTACTTAGCTTCCGAGATCTGACAAGAGCAGGGTTGCCTGGGCTATCCGGGTCAGGGCAGTAAGGTCTAGTTTTGTATTCTATCCTACTCTTCTGACCTAGGAAAAATAAATTGATTAATGTGGTCCTTTCCCCCCTATCCCCCATTCCTTTTCCAGGCTCACTGGAGTCATCCTGAGGAAGAGGCAAACTTCCTGTTAGTACAGGAAATCATCAAAGCAGTGCGCTATCTGAGGTCAAAATACCAGCTTACCAAAGCTCGGCCAATAAGTGAGTCCTCTTCAGGTGTTTGCTATGGCAGGGGAGGGGGGATTGTTTCATTTTCAACTGGGATGGGAAGTCTTACTGAAAGTACTTGTGAGTCAATGGAACCATTTCCTGATAGACTTTTACTTTGTCCTACATAGAGGTGGTATAGATTGCCTTGCACCTGTCAGTGCGAAAGGATGCGTATTCTCCTCCACCCTTGGATTCTTGCACCGTCTAGTAGTTGTTTCAGTGTTATCACTCCTGTGTAGAAGGTGTGCCCACTGCCTTATTTTTATACCATGGTCATGGGGTTGATGATAATATTCTTGTAACTAATTGGAATAAATATGCACACACTTTTTGTAATGGGGAGCTTTTACTCCACAAAGTGAGAAATCGATTTATCAGTGCTTATTTGTTCTTAGAAATGTGCACCACTGTGGAGCTTCTGAAAATTTAAGCTCCTTCACCCAGGACTGCGTGACACTTTCAGCACACAGGGGGATGCATTCATAAGAACAAATTTGTTATCAAAGAATTACAGGGCTTTTTTACATAGAGTTCTCGGTAAAGGAAAAACCCTTCATGGGCTTCCTCTTTTGCCGTGGCTGCTTTTATATTGGGAGAAGTCTTTTTATGAACAAGGAAGGCAGCTGGCATACCCATTGTCCCCTTGTTGCAGTATTTTGCTCTCTCAAAATGGCAGGACATGTTTCCTTTATCATCCTGATAACCAGCATATCCCAGTTTTGGGAGGTAATCTGCCTTTCGGGAGAGTGGCAATTTGCCTTTTGAGATCTACATGGTCTTACTGTCAGGGGTCATTTCATAGAAAAAGAGGTGCAGGAGCTCATTAGCATAACTTATTAGAATAACTTATTTGCATATGCCACACCCCCTGACATCACTGGAAGTGTTAGAAGGCAACACCCACCACACAGGCTCCACTTGACTGTTTTGGATTGCTAGCGGGGGGGGGGGAATGTGCAGATCTGCCCTCACAGAGGAGGGAGAGCTTGTACCTGAATAAAACTTGGTCTTAAAGGTGCCACTGGACTGCTTTGGATTGCTAGCTATGGGGGGGGGGCATGCAGATCTGCCCTCACAGAGGAGGGAGAGCTTGTACCTGAAGGCGGGCCAGGGGGTCTCTGCAACTTACCTGGCTGCTTCTTGCTCCTTGTGGCCTGACTGAGGGCTGCTGGGAGCAGGGGGTGGGGCTTGTTGCACGTGCCCGCCCCCTGGGCTCCTTACTGCCGGAGCTCCGCTCCTGTGCGCTCCCACAGGAAATGACCCCTGCTTACTGAACATTAGAGGTACGTGTGAAGATGTTGTTGTTATACTTCAAGACTCAGCCGGTGACAGAAATAAGTTGTCCCATCGTGCTCTCTACAGAGTATGACAGGCTACCTCCCGTGGCCACCTGGCTTAATAGCCTTTACTGTCTAAGAACAGAGATGTTATATTTCCATCTCTTTTCCCCCTCCAGCATATGTGGTCTGCCCAGAGTTGGCTGTTCGTGAGGTGTATGAGAACTACCAGGAGCCATTGCAGACTCTGTCTTTCGCTGGTTCTCTGAGATTCTTCCTTGATCCGGAGAAAGCAGAACTACCTGTGGGCTGCGTAGCCGCAAAGGCAAACAACCACACCGATATCTACGTAGATCTTCAGGTAAGACCCACATTGGGGCCTCTCTGGGTTCAAGGCCAGAATGGTTCACGAGAAGGCCACGGGAAAACAGTGACCAGAAGAAACACAGTGTGGGACAATTATGGACTTCCTTTCAGGGAATGAGCATTGGCTAGTCTCAGATGGACAAGAGGATAGACTAGATTGGTCAAGCTCTGTGGGAAAGGTAATGAAATGACCCATGGACAAGAAAAAAAGGTGATAAGGAGGAACCAGAGGCAGGATGAGATTATCTACATTATGTGCTTAACCAGGCCATCTGGGGTTCTTCTCTTACCACAGGGACTGGTCGACCCTCAAAAGGAGCTCCTTAAACTGAGATCTGAGCAACAGAAACTGGAGCAGCAGCTGACAGGCCTCACCATAAGGGTTCAAGGGGCCAGATACCAGGAGCAGGTCTCCCTGAAAGCCAAAGCACGCCTCCAGCAAAAGGTACCAACTGTCTTTGAGAGAGTATGTTCTTTGAAGAGTCAGCAAAAAATAGTATACAGATCATTCAAAATATTTATACTTGGTTCAAAAGAAGGTCGATTCCCCCAGCATTTAGGATTCCAGTACAACAAAAATCTGCTTCATGATTTCTTTCCTTAAATTAAAATTTCCATTTTAGATAGTTTCTTGGGATGGGGGGGGGGGAGGCTGTCAATTAGAGAACTTTACAGTGTAATGCTAAACAGAGTTACGTCCTTCTGCGTCCATTGAAATAAGTAGATTGTGCTCAGGATTGCACTGTCTGAGTGGCACACTGCATGGCAAATATATTTTAGGTTTTTAAAGGTTAGTGAAAAGTGAATTCTTTGCAAACTGGCTGTCTGGGAGCAGAACTGAGGAAGATCTCGGCTTGAAACCCTGGAGAACGGTTGCCCATAACAGTAGAAAATACAGCACTAGGTAGACCCAGCAGTCTGACAGTAAGACAGCTTTATTAGGACAGATAATATAATGGTAAGCTTCATGAAGTCAGTGAATTTCAGCACTCTGAAAGGTATGGTGTGTGTATAAGTAACTACAGTTCATTGTCATGTCTTCAGTGCAGGCACACGTGGGACTGCACATGTGCAGGCCAGAAGCGGAGAATAGATTTCCAGAGCTCCACAGCAGCAAAGAGAGGTCTGAGGGAGGAGCGCTCTCCTCGCTTCCCTCACATGACCATTTGGGCGGGAAAGTTCCCACTCTTGGCTCCATCAGAGGGGAGAGACAGAGTGCTCCTAGTTCTAAAAATTGCTGGAGGCTTGCAAATCTATTCTCCGCATCCAGCTTGCGGGTGTGGAGTCCCATGTGTGTGCCTCCACTGAATACACAATGATGAACAACAGTTACAGGTAAGTGCAACTTTGTTTTTCCTATGTTAAGTTTTCTGCCGAGGTCTCCTGCTTAAAGAGACCAGTTCATACTATTAGGTATTAATACTATACTGTGACCTCGGTGGGCCAGACTAGACTGATCTCATCACATCTCCAAAGCTAAGCAGGGTCAGCCTTGGTCGGTACTCAGATGGGAGACCACCAAGGACGTCCTGGGTTGCCACACAGATGCAGGCCATGGAAAACCCCTTCTGTTCCTCTCTTGCCTTGAAAACCCCTTGGGGTTGCCTTAGGTCAGCTGCAACCTGACAGCCATTTCTACCACCAGTTAATACTATAGGAACATGGTAGTGGTGGGCAGTGCCATCAAGTTGCAGCCGACTTATGGAGACCCTGTAGAGTTTTCAAGGCAAGAGATGTTCAGAGTTGGTTTGCCATTGCCTGCCTCAGTGATCCCAAAATTAAAGAAAGGAATGCACATGGAATCCTGGAAATCCGAGGAATTCACTTGTGGGTAAATTCACACTAACACCTGCCCAATTTCCCTTCCTTCCATTCGTTCCAAGTGCTACCCCATCCAGATGTTCTCCTTTTACTTGCAGATTTCCTCTCTACATTTAGAGCTGGAACAGGTAAAACAGGCCACAGAAACCTTTCAAAAGATGGCTGCGAGATGAGGATCATCGGCCGATGGAACTGAGTAACAGGACCTTGCAGCATTTTTATTACAGGACCTTAGGAAGCTGTGAGCTGACAAATGACATTGGGAAGGTTCATGAAGTTATGAGAGGCCAATTTTTAAATCTCGTTTCTGCGATGGAGCTTGCTGGTGGGGCCTGCACACTGACTTGATTTGGTCAGTAAGGATCACAAACGACCGAAAAGTATCAGTGCACTTGACATACATGAGAAGTCATAGAGCTCCCGGGGAAGGACTGTTTCTCTCCAGTAATATTCCACACCAGTCTTTGCTGCTGCAGGCATTGTGGCCTGTGCCAGATGCAGCACCCTCATCTGGCCTCTAAGGGTCACTGTTGTGCCACAGCATAGTCATATGTTGTTTGTCCTCCTCTTTGGATGTCACATTCACACTATTCTCCATGCCGTGTGCCCTGACCATCCCCTCAGGGTGCGTTCACATGGAGAGCATCACAGACAGTCTTTGCCATCTGCAGATATGGTCCAAGCCACCTGCAGAATCCCCATAATCCACAGGGGCTGGACATATCCTGCCGTGATTGTAGCAGAAGCTTCAACATTTCTGTGACCTCATCCAGTTCATGTACTGAGTTCTCCCCATGGGTCTACTCTGTGGTCTACCAAGGCAGAAGGTTTTGAACATCTGAACCAGTCTTATGAAGATTTATTGCCTTGGTCGTTTTTGTTTTTTTTAAAGAAAGAAAAAGGCCCCCAGCCTAAATTTGTTTTCTGGCCAGCAAAATTAGCTGCTTTTCTCCCATTTGGGGATGATGGAGAGGACTGAATTCATCTCTGCTGGCAGCATTGACTGTGCAGACCAAAAAATCCACTCTTTTAGTCTTTCAGTGTAAAGTAACATATTAAATGTTCATCTGCTAGTAAAGACTGGGTGAGCAAACCTGGATCTGGGGTGTCATCTTCTCTTACTGCTCTGTTTTTCCACGTGTAGCGGAGAATGGGAACTGCAGCATGGTGAAGAGGAAAGAGCAGGCCGCTCAGCAAAACAGATGTGGTTGCTTTGTGTATACCAAAATTACATCTGCCTGGCTACAATATTCTGAAGGGTGGAAGATGTATACCCACGTGTAAACATCTGGGACTCCTGACTGTGCCAAGGCTCCCACGTCAGCCAGTGTGGTGTAGTGGTCAGGGTGGTGAACTAGAATCTGGGAGATCTGGGTTCGAATCACTGCTCTGTCATGGAAGCTTGCTTGGGTGACCCTGAGTGGCTGACCCTGGTGACCCACTCTCAGCTTAACCTTCGTCCCTGGGTTGTCGTGAGGACAAAAGTGGAGAAGGAGCAGATGTTGAAGGCTACTTTGAGTCCTGACTGCGGGCAAAACGGGGGTATAAATGAAACAAATAAAAAGTTAAGCGGATTTGCTCATCTGAGGCATAATAGCATGGAGTGGGTTCGAGGTTCCCAGGACAGGAAGAAAGGCCCTCATCCCTTTGCTGGCTCAATTAGCAATAGCCATCAACACTGCTCCCTCCAACCCCCCCCCCCCCCCCCCCCAACCCATGCCCAACGTTAAATTCAGGTTCAAAATCCGTCTGTTGAAGAGTTTTTTAATACTCACACATCGAAACCTTTGTATCGGTTTTAATCCATCAAGGCAACACTCAAAGTTGGGACCACACAGTGCTCCAGCCATAGTACGAAAACTTTCAAGTTAGACTGGATGTTCATGGGCAATTTTAAAAGGTGAGGAAGATAGCTGTTCTTGAACATATCCAGCTTTACCCCTCTCTGCCTTTCCTCCACATTCACCCTTGATGTGTGGAAAAGGCATGAGACAGCTTGCCTTGAACA